AATATAAACAAAAAGGCAAACTGACATGAAATACAAGGCTAGAAACCAAGTTCCGCGGCATCTCAAAAGTTTCGTCATGCAGCTCAGTCCGATGACGCGCGACTTCTAACGCCCATAGCGGCCCTTTCGCGATCGAATTCCCGCCCCAGTTCGGCATGTCAGGCGGCATTTCCAGACAAAAAGAATGATACATACGGCAAATGCCTGGGCTTTGCCCCGAACCGCAACGACGACGGGCAACACATCATCATCATCATCATCATCATCACCAGCACTATCATCATCGTCATCATCATTGTCATCATCATCTTCATCATCATCATCATGATCATCATCATTATGATCATTATCATCATCGTCATCGTCATCGTCATCATCATCACCATCATCATCATCATCAACATCTTTGTTGATCTTCCCATTTGATTGTAAAGTTTAACGGGAGTGGGATTTTAATACTGCCTAGTACCCTTGTTGATCTTCCCAATGGATTGTAGAGTTTAACGGGCGTCGGATTCTTTATTACCTAATACCTTTGTTGATCTTCTCAATGGAATGTAGGGTTTAATGGGGGTCGGATTCTAATATTCCCTGATACCTTTGTTGATCTCCCAATTGAATGTAAAGTTGCAACAACATTTGATTGGGAATGGGAACCGGGAACCCTCTACGCTGCAACGCTGGGGATTCCATAGCCTTCAACCCGTTTTCTTGATGGTCAACTCCGTATATTTGTTGGTAAGCCACTTTTATCGATGGTTAACTCTGATTTTTGTTGCTCAAATCCTTACATATCCCATTACATCCCCAATCTATCTCTGAATCGCCGTCCAACCTCGTCCCTCCTTCTCTTCTCTGCCTCAATCAAACTAGGGGCATGGACCCTGGCGGAATTCTTTTGGCTGCCAAACAGATAGGTTTTGTCCTCAAACATAGGATTTCATCAAAAGAACATATTGATTTTCCCATCAATCGTAGAGGGTCTGAGCAACATAATCAAGCGGTATTTAATCAACACAAATTGGGGTTTTACATGACTTTACCATCAACACTAAAGCATAACAGGTGATATCAGGGAATAGAGTGGAATTAAACCAACAAATATGGTTTTGTCTGAAAATCGGAGGAACACTTCATTTTGATTTCAAATGGGGACCCACAAAAGAACACAAGACCAACCAAAATGGTAGTTGAAGATGCCAAAATGTACCAAATATAATCTGGTTGGTGGTTTCAACCCCTCTGAAAAATATGAGTTCGTCAATGGGAAGGATGACATCCCATATATGAAATGGAAAACAAAAAATGTTCCAAACCACCAACCAGTATATATCTCATGAACCATTATTAACCACTATTATCCACCATTCTCCACCATTATCCACTATTAACCACTATTATCCCATTATCATCCCTATAGAAAACCAGTAATGATGGCGTTGATACCCGATATGTCAAGATGTCAGCAGCTTGAAACCATGTCCGTTTTTATGCTCCTCAATTCTGGACGCCGATCCGTCGGATTTTCTGGAAAAAAAGGTCGCCACCGTCCAAAAGGTAGATTGACGTTCCAATTCCGTGTTGCGATAATAATTAGAATAGTAGTCATAGTAAGAATAATAGTTAATAACTATAAATTATATTTATTCAGAATATTAAATATATAATATATATAATCATATTCCATACTACTCCCTATCATAATCACAATTAATATAGCCATCTTTTGATTGCCACTTTCCACCTGGTCAGTATCACCGAAATGCTGGGATGTGTTCCACACCTTACCGCCAGCATGCACAAGGGCGAATCCGAACCATCCAGCGAAATGCTGTAAGTTCCTGCGCCATCTTCCTTCATCAACGAAGGCGTTCGCCCGTTTGCGCGCGGCGCATGCACTTTATTTCAGGTCGCTTCTCCCCCGAGCAGCTTGGGTGCGTGCGTAGGAGGTCGAGGCCAGGAGGTTGATTTCGGACACTGCTTCTTGTTGATGGAAACTCCTCTTGCAGGCAATCTAAGATGGCTATGGGACTGGTAAATATACACTACCATTCTGGGTTGTCAACCAGTATTGGCGAAAACATGTAGAAACCACCGCATAATACAACGTATGTGTATGTATCTATGTGTATGTATCTATGTGTATGTATCCATGTATTTATATTGTAAATGTGTAATTCAGAGTCTTTCACTGCCATATTGGATCAAAATCAGCCAACAATAACCACCATCAACAGCCCCACCTCCTCCTCCAACTTTCTTCTCCTCCTCTCCTGGTAGTGATGGCCACAGGACTCATGTGGGAATGTTCCGAAGTCACATGGTTATGGGTCAAAACCAAGGTACCCTACTACTACAATAGATAGGTACCCTAAAATACGGAGAGGCATTTTCAACAGCCCTCAAAAGATGGACAGAATTTTTGTATGGCCAGGAACTAAGCCATTGGGCCATTGACCAAGCAAATCATATGCAAATCATACTTGGCCATGATCATGATACCCTCTGGTCAACGTTTACATAACTATGGACAATCACCCTTTTTCATCGGTATATCAACCCGCCGGGTGGGTAATTGAACGTGGCGGCATTGCCTTTTTGATGTTTGTGGATTCTGTGTTGTGTTGCGTTCTTCAGTGGATTTCATGTTTTTTTTGTCATGTTCACGTCTCATTTCCATTATTTTTATTGTTGTTTCTGTGCGCAGGCCACTAAATGTTGACATTGTACCCCCAGAAAACTATTCCATTTTTCCGGGGTCATTTCACCAAGTGACAGTGGGGCCATGATTTTGGCGCATGAAAGCGTTTTTTTGCTGCAGAGCTGGTGACATCAGTTTGGTCACATCTGTGCCAAGGTTTTGCAGGGATTCCCGGCGCGCCATTGCCAGGATCGGACATATGTCCAGACTGTCCAGATGGCTTTGTTGAGCTCAGCCTGGTTTTTAAAACTGCATGTAGTTGGAAGTTGATAAAGAAGATAGCAACGTACGTGGAAGATGTATTACAAGAGATGCTAATGATTGCTAACGTAGTTGGAAGTAAATAGAGACAATAACAGCGTACTCGGAAGATGTCTTGCAAGGGATGCTAACGTAGTTGGAAGTTTAAAGAGAAAATAACAACGTACTCAGAAGATGTCTTACAAGGGATGCTAACGTAGGTGGAAGTTGATAGGGAAGATAACAACAAAGTTGGAATCTTAAAGGAGTCAGTAACGCCCCCCCCTGTGCAAGATGTTAGAGAAGTCAATAACGTAGTTGGAAGTTCTTACCACTACACGTTCGGTTGTCCACCCGTAGGCTAAATCAACTATTTCTATGGCCATGGCTTCAATAGCAAACTGTTTAGTTTACCAGGGGGTGAACAATTTCAATAACTAAAATGATTATCCTCAAAATGACTATATTCATCAATTATAGTCAGCAACCATGACTATAATGACTATAGATAGGCAATGACGACAATGACCAATCAAATCAATGTCAGCTGCGGTTGATGGCTTCCGACATGTTGTTTGATGTTGTTTACAACGCTGGGGGGTGGTACATCTCATATAGTATATGGGTTATAATTATAACCCACTAATCTAACTTGGGTATACGCCGTATATTAAATTGTGGCTATTCACCACCTAGTAACTGGGATGCACTTATAGCCATTAGCCATTCATCATTTTCTTCTTGATATTATGGTTCTTAGTACCACTTACATGGTAATGACAAAACTATACAGACACAAAGGCATTAGGGTACTAAGTGGCGAAAAAAAACATCAAAAGGTTATAGTATAAGTGGTATTAGTACCTCACTTGGTGAAAACCATATATGGCATTAGGGTACTATGTGGTACTAAGTGGCTAATTATGGTTATGCATCACTTAGTACCTCACTTGTGATGATGCAAAACCGCAAAATTCCCTCCCCTCCGGGCCTCCACTAACTCGCCGGAGGTCTTCAAACGCTGACCTCGGAGGCGTGACACCCTGAAACTGACATGATTATAAAATATCTAAGATTGGCCGTGTGTAGCTGGTTAACTAAGGGGTAGCTGGTTAGCTTTAAAAGGTAAACGTAGACAATCCCATTAATACCAAAGGACCAAAGGATTAGTTTCTAGCCATCTAAGATCGTCCTAGTACAGGAAAACCAGTTTTCGTATCTTTCATAATGTCCGCAAAACAATTTCATAAACCATCCCCCAGTCACCATCATTTTTGTAGGTGGTATGTTTACCGTTCCCAAATCGTTGGTTTATTGTTGTTTTATGGACACATGTACGTCTCCCGATTTGCTTCCCTTCAATGGCCGAGACCAGCAAACATCAGGGCCACAACTTCAGCCCTTTTATTTATGTCCCGCATTCTTTCAGAAACCCCCATTTGTTTGTCTATCCATGTTCACAATTGTCAGAAATTCTCGCCGGAAATTCTCCATATTTACCCAGAAGTCCCGAAGTGTAGGCATTTTGGTGTCACAATAGGTGGAGAAACATCGTGCCAAAGACACTGCAACTGAGGGCCCGCACGCTCTGCATGTCCGCGCCAGTTGGATTGCAACCTTGTTAGCTGCACCAAGCATGTGAGAATAGAAACAGTACTGTCTGCCTCTCTGTCTCCCCCATATGTATATATACACATACATGATTATACAGTATACAATATACATGTATTCCATATATATATATGTATGTATTTTTATCTATAAACAATACGTACATACACAGACATATGATATGGATCAAAATGTATATATATATATATATATGTGTGTATATATATAAATATGTACACATAGTATCGCATGGGATGCTACCAGTAGTATGCAATGTAGACAAATATCTCTCTACCTATCTATCTATCTATCTATCTGTCTATCTATCTATCTACCTATCTATCTACCTATCTATCTACCTATCTATCTATCTATCTATCTATCTATCTATCTATCTAATATGTATATATCTAAATATACACAGAACTGGTGCGTCTCCAAAGGACAATAATCTGAACCCCCCTTTGCTTTATGGCGACATCTCACTTTTGATATGCTTTATGACAAGATCCTGTTCTTCAATGATCAACCTTGCATTATGTGGTTAAAAATCCTATTGTTTAGTGGTTAAATCTCGTCCTGCTTAACTGACCTAACTCCCCATTGTTGCAGGTTCAATCCGCATGTTTCCACTTTTCGTGGTCATTTTAAGGTTGGCTGTATCATATCCCTATCTTCGTTGGTTAAATGATAACTCAAGGTGAATCTCGTTGGTTCACCTTGGTTAAATCTCTATTGGTTCGCTCAATGTCTTTGTCCATCTCGATGAAATTCCAATCTTGGTTAGTTAAAACATCATTTTTCTTGGTGAAATCCCTCCGATGAAACCCCAAGAATCACCATTGTTGCTTGGTAAAACCACAATTTTCCATATTTCTCCTGGTAAAACCACAATTTTTCCATAGTTTTTCCTGGCAAAACCACCATTTTTCCATAGTTTTCCTGCTGTGTTCCACCATTTTTGGCTTCCACCTCCACCTATCCCTGGGTGCCCCAAGCGTCACCGCCGCATCGCCCTGCTTCCGCTCCTCCAAGTGCGCCAGGCGACGCCGCATGGCGGAGACCTACGACTGGTGAAGACAGTGGAGGCTCCGGAGGGGGGCGAGGCTGGGAAGGAATCATGGGTTATATATGGGTTCTAACACTGGTGGTTAATATGGGTTATTACAATGGGATTGGTGACGCGGTAGTACAATGGGATTGGCGACGCGCTAACGGGTTATAATTGGGTTATAATGGTTTTGATGGGTTATGATATGACTAATGATCCTAGAGGATTACCCAATAATGGGTTATAATAATTGTTAATACTTGTCAATTGATGGAAGTAATGGTTATTAATGCTGGGAATTTTAGCTGGAAATAAATCACCAAACTGAACTGCAGATGATCATGGGGGTTGGGATGCGAACTGAACATGGCGGATATGGGTAGAAGACGCTTCCTTCTTCTGGATACGGACAGCTCCTTCCCTTGGCGCTGGCTTCGCTGCATTTTCTGCACAGGTAAATTAAAAAACTTCTTACAATTGGCATGAAATGAATGCGTCCCTTCGCGAGGTAGTTCCTACCCTATTTTGTGGCGATAGAATGCGGTGGGATCCATGGCCATGTTTCGACGAGGAGTTCGGCTTTGCCATTGATGGCCTGCTTCTCGCCGAGGCACGGAACATTCATGGAGGTGGCATAGACTTTGACATACACCTCGTCTTCACCGGGCAGCTTACACAGCGCCTCTGGCTTGGGCTCACCATGTTTCTCGTGGTAGAACGAATAGGTGTAGAAGTCATACGCCAGGCCACTAAGCTCATAGGTGCTTGAGTTGGCCTCCACGCACTGGGCTTTGGTCCTCTCGATCAACATTTGAGAGAGTGTTGTTCCAGAGTGACTCTTCGCGGACCACAGCTTCTTTCTGACTTGCGGGTCGGTCCTCAGGGCTTCCCACAACTCTTTTGGTTTGTCCCAGCTGGCCACCAACTGCGACACAGGCTTCATCTTGAACTGCTTTGTCACCTGGTTTGTGTAGAATGTGAATACCCCCAAATGGATTGTTTATAATGGAACATACAATTAAAATGGATGATTTGGGGGTACCCCTATTTCAGGAAACTTCCATATGGTTTATAACATGGTTTCTAATGTATGATGAATATACTTGCTACTAATGGCTGTTGATGGTTAACAATGGTTCGTAATGGTTAGTAATGTAAATCCTAGTTAATCATCGGTTATGGCTTATAACATGGCTTAGAATGGTACAGCGCATTATATAAATAGTTTTAACATGCATTATACTGGTTTAATTGGTTTATCAATGGGATTGGTAACGCATTAATGGGTTATACTTGGTTTATAATGGTTTTAATGAGTTTTAACATGATTAATAATCTTCTAGGGTTACCCTATACTGGGATATAATATATGGTGGATAATTGTTGATCATATCCATCCTATATTTGGTTCACAATGGTTGATAATGGTTTATTATTGGTATGTTATTTAACAAATGGCCCGTTTGTAGCTGATTCATGTGTTGCATGTTAATATTATGGTGGCTTTTCAGAGCTACGTTAAGTACCAAATGGTAAAAATCTTGTTTATAAAGGTTTGTATTGGATTAATTAGTGGTTAACCATGCCTAAGAACATGGATTATCAATCTTTCAGAATGCCTAAGAACATGAAAGACTAATTACTGATTAACGATGGTGATTATCAACCATGCCTAAAGGTCAGTATTGGATGAAAAAATTCATGGTTGAATTTATCTTTCAGAATGGTGAATGATGGACAATGGCGATTAGAAATAATGGATCGTGATGGATACAATGTGGGACCCCCAAGATAGCCAAGTTGGTGAAAATAACGCCAATAACTATGGTTCATGGCACTTATAACTATGGTTAATGGGGTGAATAAACCAACTTATAACTGGGGGGGCCCACATTGTAGAAATGACTAGGAATGGTCAATAATTATGCTTAACAATGGCTAATATTAGATATCTATATATTCGATACAAGAACCCTACAATGTATATAGTAATGGTTAGTAATAGTTAGTAATGGTTAGTAACCCTTAATACTTAGTCTTTAACAATGGTCTCCGCCATGGTTAATAATGGTCAATTACTGTGGTCAATAGTGTATGATTAGTGATAGTAAGTATCAAAAATGATAATAATGGAAAATATAGGTAATAATAATGCATGATTTACTGTTGTTAGTATATAATGGTTACTAACGGTTAAAATGTCCCATAACCAGGCGAGATTGCCATATCCTAGCGGGTTCAACTCCTATGTTCGCTGCTGCAATTTCACCCTATGCTGCTTAAATCATGTAAATCTCTATTTTCTTATGCTTGAATCCTTACTTTACTTCGTTTCATCCCCGGATTCACTCTATAAATCACCTCTCTTGCTCCAATCCCATGCATTTTCTTCTTCATCTCTCACAAGAACCGCTGGTTTTCTCCAACGCCTTGGTGTCCCAGTCGCGACGTCTGGCGGCCTGGGCATTGACGTGGAAATATGAGTCTGAAAATGGGCTAATATGGTAGTATGATATCCTCAGGTATGGCCATTTCATGCCATTTCAATGGGAAAAATATGACCAATGGTATCCCGGGTGGCAATATTTTCAGAGCCATGTGGGGATGACATATGACTCCTTCTGGCCTTAATCCACAAAAGTCAAGTGTGGATATGTCTGGATAAATCGCCATACAATTTTTCATTCTATGAGTTGGAATATGGCCGAACTTTTCACGTGAATTAAAGTATGACATTGCATCCAGAAAAATGATTCTACTATGCTTTAGTAACCAATTATTATTGGAATGAAACTTATCACTATTAGTAACCAGTTATTCATCCATTACCAGTAGTACCGCGCAAGGCGGTGGCCGCAGTTTCAAAAATAGGAAACCTATAGGAGAGATTGGTTGTTGTGAACCACGGATGGCAGAGCGAATCCACTGATGGACCGAAAGGTGCTTGAGGTCTCCTCTCTTTCACTCTCTTTCTCTGACTATCTACCTACCTACCTACCTACCTACCTATCTATCTTCTATGTATCTATCTATCTATCGATCTATCTCTCTCTTTCATTTATCTATCTATCTATCTATCTATCTATCTGTCTGTGTATCTATCTATCTATCTACCTACCTATCTACCTATCTACCTACCTACCCACCTACCTACCTACCTACCTACCTACCCACCTACCTACCTACCTATCTTCTATGTATCTATCTATCTATCGATCTATCTCTCTCTTTCATCTATCTATCTACCTATCTATCTATCTATCTATCTATCTATCCTATCTATCTAATCTATCTATCGATCTAGCTGTCTACCGGTCTATCCGTCTATCTGTGTATCTATCTATCTGTCTATCTGTCTACCTGTCTATCTGTCTATCTACCTATCTATCTATCTGTCTGCCTGTCTATCTCTCTACCTGTCTACCTGTGGTGCAGTGTCATTCAGTGTAGTGTAGTGTAGTGTAGTGGAGTCTAGTGTAGTGTAGTCTAATTAGTATAGTGTAGTGTAGCGTAGTGTAAATGTAGTATTGTAGTTGTAGTTGTAGTTTTAGTTGTAGTTAGTGTAGTGTAGTGTAGTGGAATATAGTGTAGTGTAGTGTAGTGGAATGCAGTGTAGTGCAATGTAGCGTAGTGGAGTGTAGTGGAGTGTAGTGGAGTGTAGTGGAGCGTAGTGGAGTGTAGTTGTGTAGCTGTAGTTGTAGTATAGTGGAGTGAAGTGTAGTGTAATGTAGTGTAATGTAGCGTAGTGTAGTGGAGTGTAGTGTAATGTAGTGTAGTGTAATTGAGTGTAATTGAGTGTAATTGAGTGTAGTGTAGTGTAGTGTAGTGGAGTTTAGTGTAGTGGAATGTAGTGAAGGTGTAGTTGTAGTTGGGGTGTAGTGTAGTGTATTGGAGTGTAGTGTGGTGAAGTGGTGGTTGTGTAATGTAGTGTAGTGTAATGTACTGTAGTGTAGTATAGTGTAGTGTAATTTAGTGTAGTGGAGTGTAGTGGGGTGTAGTTGTGTAGTTGTAGTTGTAGTAATGTAGTGTAGTGGAAGGTAGTGTAGTGTAGTTTAATGTAATGTAGTGGAAGGTAGTGTAGCGTAGTGTAATGTAGTGTAGTGTAGTGTAATGTAGTGTAGTGTAATGTAGTGTAGTGGAAGGTAGTGTAGTGCAGTGTAATGTAGTGTAGTGGAGTGTAGTGTAGTGTAGTGCAATTGAGTGTACTTGAGTGTAGTGTAGTGTAGTGGAGTGTAGTGGAGCGTAGTGTAGTGGAATGTAGTGAAGGTGTAGTTGTAGTTGTAGTTGTAGTGTATTGGAGTGTAGTGTGGTGTAGTGGCGGTTGTAGTTGAAAATGCTACAAAACCCTCACGTTTGCTCACTTTTGACAAGGTGCGCAATCCCTTGCGCCTGCCACGCGAAGCAACATCTGAACCTCCAAAAGTGGTCCGAGCATGGTGTGTTTTGTACATTTTGACTTGGAAATGTGCTTCGCGCCACAACGGCGTGCACTTTTTTGACATCTCAACTTCCAAAAGTGGTCCGACGCTGAGGTGTTTTGTACATTTTGACTTCGACATGTGCTTCGCGCCACAACGGCGTGCACTTTTTCGACATCTCAACTTCCAAAAGTGTCCGCTGCTGAGGTGTTTTTAACATTTTGACTTCGAAATGTGCTTCGCGCCACAACGGCGCGCACTTTTTCGACATCTCAATGTGGTCCGACAATAGTGTGTTTTGCGCATTTTGACTTGGAAATGTGCTTCGCGCCACAACGGCGTGCAAAACACAATGTTTCGCGACTTTCCTACCTTTTCGCGCATCTGCATCTTCTTTCTTCTGACTCTTTCTCTTCTCTGATCTTCTCTCTTCTACTCTCCTCTTCTCTCTGCCTCTGCCCAGCTCTGCTTTTCATCTGTCCATATTGTCGGAAGTTTGACTTCTAAACTTCCTTCTAAAATTTAAGTATCTCTACTATCCAGAATCACGTTAATCTACTTATCAACCAATTTTGAGATGGCTCGAGACCTAGATATAGTGCATGTGGCTCGTGGCTCATATGGGATCACCGCGCTGAAACGTACCAAAAACCGAAGCTGCTTTGAGTTGCATGGGTGTTGAGAGCACCTCATGTAGTCACTGCCTGGTCGACGATGGTACCGTTTGCTAGGTTCAGGATATCTGGCGGTAAATCCTGGAGGAGCATAGTGCCCGTCACTTCGTGCCTGAGCGTGTCTTTCCCACGGTTGCGTTCGTTCTGGTCTCAGTGCAACCCATTTGTTTGGAAGACTACAAACTGGAAAACACGAATCCAAAACCCACCCACACAAGCACAGTGCTTTTTTTACCTCCCAAATTTGGGGAATTTGCGCTCGGATCGTGATGTTTCCACCAATTTCAAGAAACTCTCAAATGAGCTCACGTCGACCACCTTCCCTTGCATCAGATCTCGGTTCCGAAGGATACTGATACGTTCAACCTAGCCCAAGCATAAGCTGCATAGTCTGTTCCACACAGGTCTGGCATCATTCTGCATGATACGATGCGCTGACCACAGTCGCAGGCACAGCGGCGTCCCTGCACAAATGTAATCTGACATTTCACATATATACTATTATTCTTTAACCGGATGATACTGTTTGGCATTTAATGGGTGTGTAATGGGTACTAACCTGTATATAACCGACAAATACTGGAGAATAATGGATAATATACATCAAACACAACTAATGGATTACTTCATTGGGAAGATAGCATCCCATTGCACTTATGTGGATGTTCTATGATGTTCTGGAGGAATATAGTCGGAATGGGTCAATGGACTGGATGGATGATTCGTCCGTTGGGAAAGACGGCGCAACCAACAGGACATGTGATTTTACAAGGAAACCCATTGGCGAAACAGGATTAACCAATAATCAACAAATTGGTTTCATGGAAAGTCTGAAGGAACCCCATTTTTGGCATCAAATCAAAAGTTTGTTCTGCATACGTATTTGTCCAAAAGCCAATTCTTACTGGTCTTATTGCTGGTTTTGACCCATCAATCAAGCACATCAATTAGGGACTACCCCAAATCGGGAACACACATATTGTGTGTGCAACTGGCTTGTCTTATAGTATCCCAGTTACCAACGACTTGTCCTAACCTCCAAGATCATCGAAGCAGCCCGTTCGGTGGCGACGAGTTACCCCCAAAGTCATCAGATTCGCCAATGGCTGGAGGTTTCGATGGGAACATCATCGATAAACAAAGGATTTTCCAGCAAGCCATGTTTGAAACCAACCCGAGCAAGATCCTTCATTGTGATGCAACCAGTGCTAGGATTTAAATCTCGAGATCCATTTTAAGTGTGATCAACCCAAAAAGAAACATCCGAATTCAGAAAATTGTCCCATCCATGTTCGTTTAAATTGGGGACGGTTTATTGTTGGGTTTACCGCATTATTCAACAATTATTTCAGCAATTTCTCAGATTTTTCGAGTTTCAGAGATCCGTGCGCCCGGCCATGCCCGGCCCTGCCCGGCCATGGGGCCCTCGGGCCATCCCAGCCGTTCCACCCTGCCGCCGGTGCACCCTTCGTTCTTCTTCGACCAACTTTCTTTCCTGTGGCGGATGTCAAGGGTGAAGCAAAGAGAACACGACGACAGAACTCGAGCTATACATGACCTACTTCACTTGGTATACACTTATACACAATGATCTGTGTGTACATATGTATGTATATATATATATATCAACCTTCCAATCATTAGATCATACTCGTCACTGATCACTTCAATTTGATGTCATGTTTGATATGGCGGGAAACTAAGATGGTTTTGTCTCAAAATGGGGTACCCCAATACATTTCTTCTTGACCATCACTTTCCACAAGTTTTGGTGACCATAATGATAAACGTGCAGATTTAAACCAAACAATATAGAAGTAACATCCCACTAAACTAGTGGTATCTAGTGGTACTTGTTAACCTGTTCTATCCTTTTCCTATCCTTTTTCTATCCTTTTTGGGTGGTTTCTACATGTTTCTACAGCACATTTCGGCAAAGAACCGCCGTCCTTCAGAGCCGCTTCTTTCTGCTCCACCAGCTTGGCTTTGAAGTCGTTCACGCGACGACGAGAGATGGCCTGAGCGCAGCATGGGGAATTTATGGCATGTCCTGGGGATGACGCTTTGGACCCTCAGATTACGAAGATTTAGTGCGCATAAAAACATATTATATTATATATATATATTACAGTATATTGCAATACCCTGTGGTTGATGAAACATATGAGGGAAAGCAGGCATATAACTTGAGCTTCAAATGATGAACATCAAGGCACACTCAGTCCCAATCAGTCCCATTGACACAAAGGGTCCTTGTCACGTTGGTGAAAGATTTTCCACCTTTTTTTTATTTGGGATTTCATAGGCCTTGGATGGGGACCCTTGGATGTTCTGGCATACATCAAGTTACATCATGATTGTTTCATGGTCAGGTTTTGGGTTCCCTCGCCAACCTGGGGAATCCGGGGATGTCCATGTTTTTTTCATTATATAAAATCCATATCTATATGTATATATATATATATATATGTATATACAATTCCTACAATCCCACATATAAGTGGGGATATTCCATATATAATTGGCAATTATAGGCCATTTACGAAAAGTGGGGCCCGCACCCCCAAGTAGAAAGATTTTTCACCCAACTCCACAAGACTAGATGTCAGTGGCGTAAGGTCCCTAACTTTAGGAAGTCGCTATGTCACCATGCATAGAATTTGTTACCAAAATTAAAATTGATGATTACTGGCTTGTTATCCCTGATATACTTGAAAATAATGTTTTCTTTTTTATATGTCATGGTCAAACGTGGCTTAGTTTCTCATGGGTCATCACTCCATTATATAAAAGGGAGTAATCTATGGGTAAGTTTGCTTAGAGTAAAACTGGACCAGCGGATGAGTTTATAGTGGATATATCACTCGAGTTGAATAGCTGAAAATATACAGACTTTTAACCAGCCTGTAGCACATGCTAAGAGAGTTAAGAGAGTTACGTGTTTTCGCGAGAGATAGTTCATTACCAGCATTCTTGCCCGCTCTTGTTGGTCACACAACTACCTCACTAATGGTCATGCTGCAAATTTCACATGGGTTTGTCTAAAAAAAAGGATATACTGATACACTCCCAAAATGGCAATGTCAAGCGGAAAAATGATGATAAAACAATGGATTTCTGGTGTGCCGTATTTTCAGATAAACCTATACAGGTTTCTGTGAACATAGAGCAACACCAGGGTTGGTCATTGCCCACTTGTTCACACAACGGATCTGGCTTCACTTCGCGTGGGCCCGCCGCAAGCCAACGCATTCCTTTTTTCGGGAGTCCAAATTTAAATGTCAAACACCCCTATATGAAACTCTAGTTCTGAATTGTGGATACTGTTCAGGTCCGTTTTCGACTTTACCTCGAACCTGAATAAATTATATAAATTAAATAGTCCGAATATAGATACAATATGGATTTATTCAAGAACTCCAATGATGGTTTATCCAAATGTTCATATTCTACCTATTCCAGGATTAATGGTATAACTTGTTCAGCCTCGTCGTGTGTGTTGGCGCAGCTAAGGCCAAGCTTCGGGTCACTCGTGCTGACTGTTTTGCTGTCCCAGACCTTGTGGCCTGTGTAGTCGCTGTCTCCAGCAGCCTTGAACATCACGTGAGCGAGACCTACCTCACCTGTGCATTGCAGACCTGATTGGAGGGTTGAAGCGCGCCTGAGCGACAGGTATTCGGTCATCCACTTGTAGTCTGCTGAGTGGCCGTTATGTGCTACCACATGCTACCACGAGGGCCGGCTTGTGCTCTGTGACAGCGTTCATCAATAACATGGTGGCCAGCTCGGAAGAGTTTCTGCGGGTACCGAGGGTCTTCACTACACCTTGGCTATCACCGTGGCTGACTTGCCACCTCAGTTGCATCACTCCAGCCGCAATCAATGCAGTATGCATGGTCGCAGAGCACCCCGTATGTCTTGCCATTCATGTATTTGTTGGCTGGTGAAGATCAACAACTATCCTAATTCCCACTAATCCAACAGGGGATGAACAAAAACATGTACATCCCCTTAACGGGGATAAATAAATAATAATATATATGTCTAATTTCTATGATTATTAGGTAAATAATGTTATATACTTATTCTATAATATTTCATCCCATTATTTACCTAACCTTTATCCGATAAAACAGCTATAGTTTCTTGGTGGCACATCCTACAGTAAGTTCTGAGTCCTCCCAACTCCACGAAACTGCGCTTGCATCTTAACCACCTGAGCAGCGACCCAACGGGTGGCTGAAATTCCCCGGAAAAAATGTAGGTATAGTGTCTATGGTTTCCTGAAAATGAGGTACCCTAAACGGATGGTTGATTTCATGGAAAAAAACGATTAAACTGGATGATTTGGGGGTACCACCATTTTAGGAAACACCCATATTATGTTCAGTAAACAAGGCTGGTTGGTTAGTCGTTGGCTGTGGTTGGGGTAGTCCTGAAACACTTAAGATGAAAAGACCCTGCCAATAGTAGTCAAATTGGTGGGGTGAATGCTTAGTTGGGTCACCCAACTAATAAGTAGGACAATGGTGATTGGGATATAATCCAGACCGGTCTCCGACGGTCTCCGATTCCATGGGGTGATGTACTGGTCAAATAGGTATCCATGGTCCATGGTATCCTTCAGGGTACTTATCCCCCAGGTATAATCAATCAACCAGCAACTACAATCCATAGATACACAGCCAACCACCAACAAATCTATAATTTCCGTGATTATAGCACCAGTATATTTCATTTTACTATCATTATCTCTGATATCCACATTATAGGATATATCCCATTCAAACCAATCAACAGGGGTGTTTAACCATCATGATTTATAATTTATATGCCTATCAAGTCCCATTATCCCCATTGATCGGTTGTCTATCCCCTATTTTACCCCTCTTATATCCCTATTCTTTCGCAATACAGCAACCCCACTACAGCAAAATCTCAAACCTGGACATTATGCAAGAAACCTCATCTAACTCACATCGTGGAAGTACTATTTTCGGCATCATCTTGACTATCCTGTGCAAGGAACTAGCTCGTTATATCCACCATCGGCCATCGCATTCACCTAGTTTTTTTGACCGCAAACCATATCCATCATACCTTACCTGCAAACTAACGGTCCGATATGCAAAACCCACGACCAGTACCCTCCAGCAACAGTTCCACCCTGCCAGTCATCCATGAAGATTACTAAAACTAATCCACTCAAAATTGGTGATGTTCAGGGTCGAACTCTTAATTTTTCAGGGTTTTCACATTTTTTTTTCCATGGGCCGATCATGTTCCTAGGACAAAAAAACCACCGGGCCGAGCCACGGCGCTCTCCTGCAGTCGCACCGCCACGTCCCGGAGCAACGAGTCCTTTTTGGCAAAACGTGGGAAAACCATGGGAAAACCCGTGGAGAACAGATGGGATACCCTCTGGTTATTTAACATAGCCATTGAACATGGCCCAGTACCGTTCTTAAAAATTGGCTATGTTAGTTTACCAGAGGGTATATGGCAAAATGAAATATACTGTCACTATAACCATGGAATTTATAGATTTTTTTTTAAATGATTATGTCTCATTGGGTTAAAAACATTCCCATGAATTAAGAGAAATAACAATGAACATTAATATGTCTGGAGTTTACAAACAGGGGCTGAGGATCAGGAAAAAAAACGAAACAGGCATATGTAACCAACAAAGTAATGGAAACTAATGCGGTTGACATGTAGAAAACGTGGGGGACTTACTGTAACCCAGCAACCTTTGGGGTAACTTGCTATCAACATAACATGTTTTCGAGTGTTTAGCTCGGTATGATTACTCCAGCATACATCAAAAAAAACTTCAGGACATAACATCAACGCAACCTACAAAACAACCGTAGTAAAACCAAAGGACAAAGTTCAAATTCCTCCGGAGGTGATCAAAGGACTCTTCAGGCAACGCAGCAAGCTCTAATCCAACCTGGTTGCAATTCCAGGCACGGTCCAGCCCAAAGAGGATGGCCGTCCAGAAAGATGCTAAGCGGACACGGTTCTCCTCGGAATTAACAAAGTGCCAATTATCCTTGAACTCCATGCCGTCAGCATATCCCATCCGTCACCTCATGCTCATGGAGCTCCACCTCATCGTGTGCTACTATTGCCGGGAGGTGGCCGAGTGTGGAGGCTTTGAAGGGAAGTTCCAGCCGCATCACCTCGTACATAGAGACTCCAAGAGCCCAAACGTCCGTAGCCCTCGAGTACCTTGTTTTTTTCACATCATGTCTTTTAGATGGGATAGAATTTTAACTTCATCCATTTTACCAACATGGGGGTACCATAAATAACCCATTTACATATCATCATCGTAACCATATAATGAAAACATACCAGACTATGATTTGCCCAAACATAGATGTGAGTGGTTTCGGAAAGAGATCTTCAAATGGTGGGTGACACTCTACATCTATGTTAGTGGAACAGGTGGATAGTTCATGGCGGATATGGTGGATATTTACGGTTGTATACAACCAAAGTAAATGTAATTATGCAACCTAAACTACTACAATACCAATTTTATTGGCTATACAATATTTATGCACCGTCAATATCAATCAATTATTATTATACACCACTATAGAATGTCAACAATTAACATTGCATCATTAATTATCAGTGGGAACCACAAGTTATCCCTATACATCACTATACACCATTGTAATGTATATAGTAAATATGAACATGAACATTAAAAATTCTGTAGTTTTTTCTTTGGTGTTTAAATAGACCCAAAAAAACAATTCCAATTACTTTACTTCGTGTGATCCCCACCATGACATTTGTAGATTTTCTTACTGGCAAATCTTCTGGCATTCTATCTGACATATCTTCTGGCATTCTATCTGGCATTCTATCTGGCATATCTTCTGGCATTCTATCTGGCAAATCTTCAGGCATTCTATCTGGCATATCTTCTGGCATTCTATCTGACATATCATCTGGCAATCTATCTGGCATATCTTCTGGCATTCTATCTGGCATATCTTCTGGCATTCTGTATGACATATCTTCTGGCATTCTATCCGGCATTCTATCTGGCATATCTTCTGGCATATATTCTGACATATCTGCTGGCATTCTATCTGGCATTCTATCTGGCATATCTTCTGGCATATGTTCTGGCATATATTCTGACATATCTCTGGCATTCTATCTGGCATTGTATCTGGCAAATCTTCTGGCATATGTTCTGGCATATATTCTGACATATCTCTGGCATTCTATCTGGCAAATCTTCTGGCATATCTTCTGGCATTCTATCTGACATATCTTCTGGCATTCTATCTGGCATATCTTCTGGTATATGTTCTGGCATATCTTCTGGCATTCTATCTGGCATTCTATCTGGCATATCTCATGGCATTTTATCTGGCATACCTTCTGGCATTCTATCGGACATTCTTTCTGGCATATCTTCTGGCATTCTATCTGGCCGTTGAGGTCCAGCGGTGCACACTGAGCTGGGCAAGTCCCAGGTTGAGGTCCAGCGGTGCACACTGAGCTGGGAAGGTCCCTGGTTGAGGTCCAGCGGTGCACACTGAGCTGGGCAGGTCCCAGGTTGAGGTCCAGCGGTGCACACTGAGCTGGGAAGGTCCCAGGTTGAGGTCCAGCGGTGCACACTGAGCTGGGCAGGTCCCAGGTTGAGGTCCAGCGGTGCACACTGAGCTGGGAAGTTGGCAAAGAGCTTGGCGAAGAGAGTTGGCAAAGAGCTTGGCGCAGAGTTGGCAAGGCGGAAGTGAAGGTGGAAGTTGATGCAGACATGGTCGAGGAGAAACTGGAGGAGGAGGCGGAGGAGGAGGACGAGGAGGAGGACATAGGAGGACAGCTAGCCGAGGAGGAGGAGAACAACTCTGATAAAATCTAACAACCCTCACCTGGCAGGTGGGGAAATACAGTCTCAGAAGGTGTTTGGAGCATTTACCCAGATCATCCATTTTGTCAAGCCCTTCACCAAGGTTCCGTGGCAGGATCTCCACCTTCGGCATCTCGCAGCCGGAGCGGTTGCTCCAAGTGCCGCGTCCTCGAAAGAAGGAGCCGTGATGACACGTGGTTCCAACGGTCATTTGCAATATATTAAAAGTATGTGTTTATATATATATATTACGCATATATATATATATTGCATATATGTAAATATAATAAATATAGATTATTATAATATAAAATAATACAATATAATATAATACAATATAATAAAATATAATATATCTTAATTTAATTTAATAAAATATAATATAATAAATATTTTATTTAATATAATATAACAAAATACAATTTAATATAATATAATTTAATATAAGATAATGTAATGAAACATAAATTATAATTTAATATAATATCATATAAATATAATATAATTTAATATGATATAATATAATACAATATAAAATAATAAAAATAAAAATAAATATGTAATTATATTATATATATATATATATGTGTAATGTATTATATACTAAATATGATGCATGTAATATACAAGGGTGAATATAGTTTGTAACTGTAAGTTTGGTGTGTACAGTTGCTGATAACATTGCCTGGGTGCCAGGTCATCATCAGTTGACAGGAACAAGGTACAACCACACTCCCGCAAGGTCATTCCATGACTGCTTGGTGACGAACAGGATTCCCGTGCGATATTGGATTATGATAATCCCAATATTGCGATATTGGATAATGTTGGATAGTATAACCTCCGAACTAATCATCAACCAACAGGGGTTTGGCAGCCGCTGCTCACCTAACACTGACCATCCATCAAATAGTGTCAAGACGTCGTCATAGCCCATCCATTCAGTTTTAATCCCCTGGTTTCAGGTCACTTGATCCGTAAAATTCTCACGTGACCACCCATGCTCACAACTTGGCCAGGAATGGATTGAAGATGAAGGAACACATGCATGGACTCGTGGTTTTAGTTCTAGCTATACATTTATACTGTATATATACAAATTCTGTCCACACAACTGTAGGGGCTTTACCACCCATGGCCTCAAGTGACCCAGGATGCCATGGCCGTTGTATATTGGATATCCCACTCAAAATTGCACAAGAAAAGTACAAAAATGGGATAGATATCCAATATACAACGGATATGGGATAGATATATAATATATCGGGTAAACCAAAGTATGTTTCACCACGAATATGGTTTACCCATGTTTACCCACCCCTGCCGACTTGTCGACTCATCATCTCCCACCTCAAGAGCATGGAAGCCGCTTCTGCCAGCATGACTGAGGAGGTATCCGACCTAAGACCCACAAGATTGTTGCAAACTATATAAGTAGATTTGAGGTGGTAAACACTGGCCATTCAATTGATTCCACCCAGATATCTTAAATCCCCTGGGTAAATGGAATATAACCCGTTTTTGTTGATGATTCTCCCGTAGTGTCGTGTGCGGATCAGTGGTTGGGATGTTCCAGCCAGGGATCAGATGAGTCCCCTTACTTCTTACGATGATATGGTAAATTCGCAGTGGTGTTGCTATCATTTCTTGAATTGGTCAAACGGTTTTCTCCATTGTGGTATACCCATTAATCCCATGTCCTCTTCCATAGTTTTGTGCGCCAATTCTAATTGCAGTTTGCTGTACGTCCTATTGCATTGGATTAAACACATAAAAGGAACAGTTCACCTTGGGAAACACCGGTGACATCATCATCAATTCTTGGGATTGAACCCGCGTGCTGGGCAATGCAACTGTATTGGTGGCATATTACATGCACACTTTTTGTTCATCCACGCTGCTTGGGGCTTACAAATCTTCCGTCAAATTGGAGCTGCTGGAGCTTCGGTAAAAGTCGAACAGACTGGCACAGTTATGACAACTGGTGATATTAGAGCCATGTGGAAATGCCAAAAAGTGGAAACCATAATTCATTCATCCCATTCCTGCCAAACACAATATTCGACAAATACACTGAATATGGAACCCTGAAAGAGATTCAACACTTAAGCAGGGTTTAATCCAAGTACCGTGGAGGGATTTATACCCTCTTAGATTGGAATATTTACGACCCTTCGACTTTGATGCTGTGGCCTTCGTGTGGCACATGCCCTCTCAATTTCAATTACCATTGGTGTCTGGCATCTCATGCATCTCTTCCTCTGCATCCTGGTTCGCAGCATCTCCATGATTCGACCTATCATCTGCAGCCCAGATAGGAGAAGTTGCTGCTGGTCTTTGCAAGGGGGCAATGATGGTATTGAGCACGTATGCAACGGAGGAGGCCACCGCATGCAAGACACAGCCACCCTTTCCACCCATTGCACCATCCATCCGATATTCATGTTTACACCATGTTTGAAACCACGCCAACAAAAACGGTACTACAGTAGCAGCAAAAAACCATCCCTTGTGTATTCAGTTTTACACACCCCAAGAATGCAGAGGGAACAGTCCCAGGACGTTCGTCGATCGTTGATTTTTTTCCCCACATCTTTGTGTGGGGTTTTTGTTTTTGGTTCTGAATCCCGTCCCGCCGCCTCCTCCTCCTCCTCATCCTCCTCCGCGCATCGTCTTTGTCACACACAACTTTGTCACACAATTTTGTCACACACAATCTCTTACACACAACGTTGTCACACACAACGTAATCACACACACACACACACATCTTTCACACACAACTTTGTCACACACACACATTTTTTCACACACAACTTTGTCACACACACACACACCATTTTTTCACACACACAATTTTGTCACACACAATTTTGTCACCCATAAATCTTTCACAAACAACTTTGTCACACACACACACTCTTTCACACAACTTTGTCACACACACAAACAACTTGTGGACACCTTTCATCAACGCCATCTCCACTGCAATCTCATTGTTTGAGTTCCATGGCGTAACCAAAATACGCATCGGCTTGTGTGTGTTTGCAGCAAGATGCAATCAAAAGGCAACTGAGAAGTCGGTTGGGATCCACAAACACCCGAGAGATCGCAGGCTCCCCCGGGGCTGGCCACGGAAGCAGCCGAGCACGCCTCCCACCAAATAGGGGCAGTGCATTTCTTTGTGCCCGGACTTCAGGGCCAGGGCGTCGAAGTAGCTCGGACTTCCACCATGTCGCGAATTGAATGACAGTGCTAGGCCTATATGGCCTTCGGTCATGACTTATCATCTCGTTATATCACAGTTTTGATTTTGATTCTAATTGCAAATACCACTTGTTTTGCGCTAAACGCCCAACAAGATTTGATTTGCTGCACCTATATAGTGGTTATATAAATCACAAATTCATTCCGATCATCTCCATTCTTGCTGCTTCCCTATAGATCCCTCTTTAAATCCAAATTTTTGCTGGTTCAATCCCGATGTTGGCTGGTGAAATCAGGAATTTCGCTGCTTGAATCCCAATTTCGACCCAGCGACTCCACAGCATCCGAGCGCCGCCGGTCCCGCTCGCGCTCGCGGTCGGCACCCTTTCGACGGTCGGAATGGCGCCGGTCGTCGAGTGCCTGGAGGGTGATGAGGCTTGGGTGAGCTTTCTATGTTGGGTTAGGTATCGTATATTATACACACTAAATGCTATAGTTAGACTAGTAATGGATAAGTAGTTATTAAAATAAGTATGTATAAAACATATATATAATATATATATATATATATATGCATATATACAAGACCTATATATATATATATTTATATATGTGTGTGTGTGTTCCACGCTCTAGGTCCCCCCCTCCCCTACACCGATGATCATGGTACCCCCTCCCTCGCCATGTAGTGTGGGTGGTTGTGTGGATGGGGCGGAGACAGGGGTGGTATATGTAATATATTTAAACAATAGCTGGGAATGTCCAATGCAATAGCTCAATGCTAAATTCGTTCTATAGGTAGTATGGATGTAGCATATAGGTAGCATACGCAGTACACACACATATATATATACAAATATAATATAGATAATATATATATGTAGGTTATGAATATATATATATAGATATGTGTTATATATTAAAGAATATATATATATTCATATATTATAAAGAATATATATATATATAGAATAAATACAGACGTAGAATCTAGGGAGGAGGAAGGGATGGGTTAACTGCAGCCTGTGAGTAGTGGATGAGTAGTGGATGAATAGTATATAGGGTATGCTATGGCTAGCCTCTAGGTTGCATATAGGCATGCATGGGTACAGTGAAACGACTGCAATAAGAACTTCAGGGGCTGGATTGCTGGGTTCAACCCTGTCTGTCAGCTATATAATTGAAATAAGAACCCTAGGGTGCGATGGAATTCCAGCCACTGGTTCTTACATCTCTTTAGCGGGTATCAATATACCAAACATTGATTATTAGCAGCTATTTCCCAAAACAAAGATTATGTGCTGCGGAACTTCCACGCCGATGACAAACATGGTGCACTCCCAAGGAGATTCGAAGCCTTACGTGGTCATCAAGGCTGACAGCTTCAGCCAGACACCAGCTAGACTCACTGATGGCCATCTGACCTCGGAGGCTGCCCTTGGCCTGTGTTGGCTTGTCTTGGCTTGTCTTGCCTGTGCTGCCTTGTTTCGGGCACCCAAATCAAAAACAAACTTTCGGGACCTGAAATGTTTTTTTCTTCCCCCCACCTCCTGTCCAACCTAATTCCACGCCAAAATGAACTTTCAAGCCCTGCCATGGTGGAATATCTGGCCCTTAGCTCTGTTTGGAAGGCCTGCGACTGAAAAAACTTTTCGGGGCCTGAAAGGTTTTTTTTTCCCCCCGCCTCCTGCGCAACTTAATTCCACGCCAAGATGAACTTTCAAGCCCTGCCATGGTGGAATATCTGGCCCTTAGCTCTGTTTGGAATGCCTGCGCCTGAAAAAACCTTTCGGGGCCTGAAAGTTTTTTTTCTTCCCCCCACATCCTGTCCAACCTAATTCCACGCCAAAATAAACTTTCAAGCCCTGCCATGGTGGAATATCTGGCCCTTAGCTCTGTTTGGAAGGCCTGCGACTGAAAATCTTTTCGGGACCTGAAAGGTTTTTTTCCTTCCCCCCGCCTCCTGTGCAACCTAATTCCACGCCAAAATGAACTTTCAAGCCCTGCCATGGTGGAATATCTGTCCCTCAGCTCTGTTTGGAATGCCTGCGCCTGAAAATCTTTTCGGGACTTAAAAAGTTGTTTCTTCCACCCGCCTTCTTTTTAACCTAATACCACGCCAAGATGAATCGGCAAAACCCTCACCATATGAACCCGTGAAGAACTACCCTCGTTGATAACTCCCATATTTTCCACCTGTAGCACTTAAGAACCCCAGGGTAGGCTGAACAAATCTTAATCGGTTCTTATCTAACGGTTCCGCTGTACTAAATCAATAGGTCAAACATACAAGTAGTATATAGGTACGTTGTAAGTCGTATGCAGCTACGGTATATATCAAAAAAATGGATGATTCCTTCTATAGAAAGCATAATACCTTGGAATTTCTGGCGACCTCAGGCTTCCATGGCAAACAAATATCGTTTCTGATGTCCAAAAGGGATTCTACATGGTAGATAAACATAGATAAGCGACAATCCAACACCCAGCCAGTCTATCCATCTTAGATCAATTCAGAAGGCGGGCCCCAGTTATGTGAATGGTGGTTTAATGCATCATTCGCGAGCTGGAAAAGAAAACTTAGCTGTCGTAAATCAGCTACCACAACTATAAATTCCCAAGCTTTTGTTGATTACTCTAGGGTAAACTTTCCCATAGACGTGGACATTTTCCACCATTTCTACATTTTCCAAGGGCTTCAGGGGTTTTCCACATCTTTTTGTATGTTTCCCCTAGGTCACAGCCCTAATTTTCTCGGCCATCGATTTCGCCTGGCGATGGCCATGATGTGCATCACCCTGGACTCTGTGACGGTAGCGCTGCACCTACCGGGATGGTCCAGAAATGGGTTAGTTAAAGAAAAAATATGGGGTGCTTAGGGAATGGGGCAATGATCTTTGTCAACTATTTACAATCATCTCATTCCACCGTTCAATCATACAGAGATTCAAGGGATTCTGCAAAAACCTAATCAGGGAAATGTACGATTCATTCTATTTCATATTTTCCGTTGGTCCAAAAAAATGGTATACATCGAAATGGCATGAAATGGCCACATTCATGGCCAAAACAAAATGGTGTTTCCGACCGCTATATAGATTGCAGTCCTATTTGTTGGACGAAGACATATGTGTCACTTGTTGCTCTTTTCGAGAGAGAAACCTGCGGAACAAAGACATTACAGGTACTTGGGGGCGCAGTTGGGGTTCTCAATGGATTCAATGGATACAACTGGTTAGAATCAGAAACTCCAAAAGTTGGGATATGGGCCCCCTATATATCCTCGTAGTTCATTGGAATTGCACCCCCAAGTAGGGGCTCTCTGCGAGTCTCCGCTCAAGACCTTTTTGAGGATATGGTGATCATATCAAGAATGATAAGAATGATTGAACCACACCCCTCAACCACAAAGATCGATCAACAAGTCTTGACACGGATAGGCAAGGATTCAACTCAGAACATGGCTCCTGATCTGGCGCATTTAAGTGGATTGTACTCGCTTACCAACCACTTCATCCTAAAATGTGCCCAGGAAGCAGTGAAACTTGGATGAAATCCATTGCCGCGTTGCCGCGGCCCAGGGCTCAGAGAACCAAAATTGGAAAAACACAGCCACCTCTTCCATCCTCTTCCCTGGAATACATCGCATTCATTCATTTTGCTGCTTGATTTATATAGGGGAGTTCAATATTTTGGCTGGGGATGACACTCATTTACATCCGGTATGTGTTTCACCACATTTCTCGCAGGCTAGTAACAACATGTAAACATAATTTGCTTGCATGGACACCCAGGCCATTAATATTAATGTCGGTGGTTGAATACATCACATATCATCATGAATTACTGCATTATAGTTAATTGGTTTAAAACTGTAAACCCCACTTCCCCTTCCACCCCCCGCAGCTATAGTCTATCCATGGCTGGTTGGTGGTATACCTACCCCTCTGAAAAATATGAGTTCGTCAGTTGGGATGATGAAATTCCCAATATATGGAAAAATAAAAACTGTTCCAAACCACCAACCAGATGGCCTCATGATACCCGACCTGCCTTCAACACCATCCGTCTGAGGGATTCAAAAACAATCCCCAGGATGTCATGATACAACTTGCGACAGGAACCGAGGTGTACCATTTCAAGAATTTTATGGTGGTATCATGTTACATCTAAACAAAAATACCACCATAAACTTCATAAACATCCATCATTTGTTGTGGATCATCATATTTTTATTATTTGTGTATCCATCATTTCCCAGCCATGTGAAAGCCATTGGTTACCGGCGCCTGTTTGTCCAACTGCTCCTTAGTCCTCCGAGCCTGGCATGCCAATGATGGGCGGTCATAATGGCTTGCAGATGAAACATTGCGATCCATCAAAAACAGTGGCTTCACCAAATAACAAGAAACTGTTTAGTGGTGAATCACCAGTTATAATTTTTAAATCACCAGTTTAGTGGTGATTCAACTTCTATAAATGGTGATTCCTCATGAAACCACCATTGATGGCATGCTGATCGACGGCGCGTTGCGCCGAGGATTTCACCTTAAGATGGATCTTTCCGCATCAGCTGGATCCAATGATGATCCAACTAGGATAGAATTAGATCCATAGTACCACCAGTTGTCCAGAACCGATATAACTAGGTGATACAAAACCAAGCATAGTGGGGATAGAATTAGATTTCACCGGATGTAAATTAACGATGAGATCGAAAGGGGGGTGCATCATACAAAATTGGTGTAAACGAAACCAACATTTTGAGGGGATTGACAATCGAACAATAGGGATCCAATGAACGATGAACATGGGTTTGTCCAAGAATTTGCCTGATTCGTTGAAGTACCATAGTTTGAGTTGAACCCAAATAGGGAGTCAATCCATAATTGGGTAAATACCATTTGCCGGCCCCCATCAATCCAAGTCGTCCTAATTCTGTTGGTGACTCCAAGTTTCTCCATTTGCAGGCCATTGGCCGACCATTTCCAAGCCATTTCCCCACCACTTATTAAACATTCCACAAACATGTAATGGATGATTAACCACTTAGAAACCACTCATTAAGCAGCATCTAGTATGGTTACTAACCACTTATTAACCACTAATCAAGTACTACTTAACCACTTATTAACCACTTATTAACCACTTCTTAACCACTTCGTAACCACTTCTTAACCACTTCTTAACGGGTGACGCCACACCGCTTCTTCACCACGAACAATTTTTCGTTTGGTTATCCCCATGGGCTGATCCTGGCCTTGTCCTCACGCAACTTCTCCAAGGACTCGCGTTCGCGGCGGAACATCAGTTTCAAGGCGTCCCATTTGTCGTGCTCCTGGGGGAGTCGACGATTTTAAAATGACACGCGTTCAGATGTTTCTTTTTAAACATGTGGGGTTGATATGGGTTTAATGTGGGCGTTTAAGGTTTCAATATGAGTTGAAGATCGCGGTTTTCATAGGTTCTCACATAAATTTCTTATCGATTTGAGGATAAATAAAATTTGGAACTTGTATATGATTTCATATTAGTTTGATACGGGTTTGATATGGGTTTGATATGGGTATCAGTATCAATCAATATTATGCACTAGATGTCAGTGGATATTGGATGAATTAAAACGAATAAAACAATAATACAATTTATTGGGATGAACTACCAGCCCATAAGTGGCTACAAGTAGCTGATTTGACCAGCAAAGGTATGGGGGGTTCACCCTCAATCTGAACAACCGAGAAACTTCATTTCTTGGTTTGAAACACGTTCAAAAGAAATCAATGAAACTAGAACTGTGTATGGTCAGTGTTTGGCTTCCGAATCCAACTCCCCCCAAGGGTGACCCCTAAAACAGAACTATTGGCCAACTATTTGGGGCTTAACTTCAGTGAGCAACAGCCAGCAACAACCACTGCTTGTGAATCATTCTGGGGATCACCTGGTTAGATCTCCATGCAGTGACCGTAACAGGTTCCCGAGGACATGACCCAAACTAGACTGGGGCTGGTTGCTGGTTTATCAGGTTAGATGCTAATGTGCTAATGCATGTATGGTTTTTGGAACCATTCACCATGCATGGAACTATCATGGAACTCTAGGTTAAATGGCTTAATATGGTTTAAAAACATTGGTTCAACCATATTATATATCTCAGCCTTCCAGTTGGTTTCCCCAACCTTTCCTGCTTGGCTTTGTTCATCTTCAATCGCCGAAGTTCTTTCTTGGCTTTTCTACACCGATACGCGCCCTGGAGGAAGTCACGGCAGGTACCGTACAACTCCGTAATGACTTGAGCCATACGAGTACCAGCCCGAGCTGATCAGACTGCGAAGATGTTCTTTTACTGTAAAATAAAAATATTTATATATGTATAAATTGTTATATATATATATGTATATATGGGGATTTCCATCAATGGGGGTATCAAAATGAATGGTTTTTAATGGCACATCCCATTAAAATCGGTGATTTGGAGGTACCCCTATTTCAGGAAACCACCATATGTGTTTCTTCATGTTAGGTGTCACATGTTTTCACGTGACTGAACGTTTACCCTCCAGTGAATTGACATAGATGTGGAAAAAAACACCTTTTGTAGTATAGGTCATGTTCCTTGGAAAAGTATGGGGGGTATGGGTTCTCCATATCTATACTTTGACTTACTGGAAACAAAATTAACAAGTATATTTAAAGTTTACCAACCCAGAGTCGGAAATTGTAAAGCCCATCCTACTCTTCCAGTGTGCTATCCTGAGTCTGTTTCCAAGCTGTAGGGCAAACCATTGAAATGTAACCTACGGTCAGCTAACAAAAAATCAGAAAAGTAGACTCAGAGGCAAATTGTTATGGTTTGCATCTTTCCGGTGGTTACTACACATGTAGGTGTACGCATATATAAATCAATACACATGATATTAGACATTTAGAGAAATAGTATTGTCCTGAAGCATACAATGCAGAATTAGCATATGCTTCACATTTCAGTGAGGACTCCGTGAAAATTCAAAATCCAAAAGAAACTGAAACTTTTTGGATGATGATCCATATATATATATATGATAATAATAATAATAAAAATAACAATAATAATAATTAGTAAATACTGTAGATTTCCATTCCAGAAATCCTCCAGGATGTACTCGGAGGATCCATCTCATTTTTTTTGTAGAATCCTTACGCGCCTAGTTGGTCCATGTTGGTCCCCCATTCATGGGCCTTCATGGGCTCCTGTGGGCATGATCCCCCACTGACCTTTTCAAACATGTCAACCCTAGATGAATAAACCCCAAAGTGCCGAAGTTGTGGCTGATTGGGTGGCTACCGTTGAAGTATTAGATTGGGGAGTACCACTAAACCATCCATGTTCCAGGGATCCTCTGCAAAGCCTGCCTGAATCTTCTGCGCCGCTCGTGTCCTTTGCTGAAGCTCCACGTCTTGCAGCCGTTTCGAAGTGATAGACACCTTCAGGGGCAAGGGGTTGTTCAAAGATGTAGCTTGGTATACAGGATATATAACGGATATAATGATATAATGCAATTGTCTGCGTGGAATTTAAACATCAAGTTTGGCGGCGTTTTTTTCCAGCAATCTCAGGCTCAAAACTGTTCAGAGCAGTGAGCACACAGAGGTAAAGTACCAGGTGTGCTCCACCTGCTCGTGTTCAGATTCCTCATATTTATATAGTTCCCAAAGCAGAATCACCAGAATCTCGAGAATGTACCTGAATGATTCTTGATGTTGTTCTGATGCCATAGAGTTCGGGCAGCCCAATTTCGGTCCTTGATGGTGTCTGAATAATTTCAATTCTTGGACAAAGTGCGAATTCAAACGCTCAATCTGGATGGAATTTTGAAAATACATCCAGTTTAGATAGCCGGGATTGATGGGGAAAGAAATTGTTGTTCTGGCAACACATCAAATAGTCGAAAACACCTTTTAAGATGTTTCAAAGGAAAACGCATTTTTGAAGTGATTTAACCAAAGAAATCAAACATGGGATACCGGATACCATTTGATATTAATTAAATTCATGGGTATTGAGAAAATCGATGCATGACATGGCCACGGACGCCAATGGAGTATATTCAAACTTACCGGATTTTGCCGGAATTTATTGCATTAAACCAAGAGTGGAATCTAGATGGGAGGAGTTGAATAGGTTTGTTCCAAATCCATACACACACTCACATCAAAAGGTGAAAGGAGGACTCACAAACATGGTTTCAGCTCCTACAAATGGGGTATGTTTTACAAAGACATATTACCAGTATGATTCTCCGCAATGTAAGGTATAGGAACAAAACAAATATAGGCAATTCATTCACAACTGTAAGTAACTGGATGTGCATCCACGATTTTTTCTCATTTAAAGCCCGGCAATTTTTCTCTGGGACGTGAGCTATGTAGGATGATGTTCGGACCTTCATCCAAGAATAATCCCTTCATATCCCTCCACCATTCATATCAAGCACCCCCATGGTTCATGGTCCCAGGTATGCGACTTCATCGCCCACTAAACCATGGTTTCTGGAGGGGGTTTAGTGTTAGGGGGAAAGGATTTTCCCAGTCTTCGCGAAATCACACAGTTGGGTTGATTTTCCTCCACTTTGTTGGGTCACACCCCAACAAACACAATTTTATGATATGGTCTCTTTTAGCCTTTTAGCAGCGGCGGAACACCAATTATGCCTGGACAAACCACTGTGATTTCAATAGTTGAATATATGACATATTTGATATGAATTTACAATATACTATACATATATATATATAGGTATATACATATATGCATATATACCAATATACCAATATACCAATATACCAATATACCAATATACCAATATACCAATATACCAATATACATATATACATATATACATATATACATATATACATATATACATATATACACATATACACATATACATATATACATATATACACATATACATCAATAAATATATACATATATACATATATACACATATACATATATAAATAAATAAATAAATAAATATATATATATATCTATATGTGTAAACAACACCACTCGTTTTACTAATGGAGGCGTGCCCATTCCTCACTATCTGGGAAGGAACCCCCCTAATTATATAATCCACTGAGTTGATTCATTCACCCAGGATCGGCAGGTTTTTTTGGTGATAGCCCCCTCAATCCGAAATATCAACCCATTAGAGCCTCTTGCAATCGTCGCTGCTGTCGCTGCAAGCGTCGCCGTTCCCTGGGCACGTGCACAATTTGCCATCTGTGCCAATCAGTTTGTGGAATCCAAAAAATGTTTGATAATATAAAAATAACCAAAGATAACTATACAACAATACGTCTAATTTTAAACAATCATTTTTTCGTATAACATTTGCTTTTGTATTGATTTCTATGTTTTTTTGATACTGTGATGGGGGAACGTTCGGGGACATTGATCGTGTTTGATTCGAACAAGATCGGACAGTGTAGGGCACATGAGAATGAAACAGCGTTGCTTTGTCCATTTGTATCTAATCCAAGCATATATTGATTTCCAAATGTGGCTGTAAATGAGCCCTGAGTCTGCGACAACCGATGCAAGAAAGGACGCCTGTATGACTCTGGTGGAAATTTTTGAGCTCTGCAACAAGGAGATACCTATGACGTTGTTCAAGCAGTTGAGGCAGACCAATCTAGTAGCCACCGCCTGCATTCCTGTGGTTGTGGTCAAATATGCAGATCCGGTGTCTGTGCCAGCTGGGTTGTTCACCATGGGTCGGTCCGTCAGCCCGGTAACCAAAGGCCTCACAAGCGCCAAACCCAGGACTGAGAAAGCATAAAGATCCAACCCTGCTGAGATGCTGCCAATGACGAGCAATCCAGCGATGAGCAGGAAATAGGTGAGGCTGGTGGCTGTGAGAAAACGCCCTAAATCGGACTTGCTGGCAGTCCAAATGCCTATAGTCCTGCACCCAAAGTATAAGGCGCTGACAACCAAGCATATATTGATTTCCAAATGTCACAAACCATGCGGGATCAATACGGTTTTCGTGTTTTGGTGGGGTACCCATTTGGAGTGGTGGCCATCCCATCACAAGTCCCGAATCAGTACTGAAATTTCCAGCCATCTAATGCCGAACCACCTAATGCCAAATCGCCGTTTGGAACAAAAAACATGTTCAAATTGTTTCAACTCTATTTTTGCTACTGTAGGTGTCAATAATTTGGCCAAGTTCAATATTGTTTGGCACCACTACAATCCATCCAAAGTAGTCAAACCTTGCACAATGGAGATGCTTGCTTTGATTGTCTTTGTGGACCATGAGCTAGCTAGATAGATAGATAGATAGCTAGATAGATAGCTCGATAGCTAGATAGCTGGATAGACAGCTGGATGGCTAGATAGATAGCTAGATAGATAGGAAGCTAGATAGCTAGATAGCTAGATAGATAGTTAGCTAGATAGCTCGATAGCTAGATAGCTGGATAGACAGCTGGATGGCTAGATAGATAGATAGATAGATAGATAGCTAGATAGATAGAAAGCTAGATAGCTAGATAGATAGTTAGCTAGATAGCTAGATAGGTAGATAGATAGCTAGCAAGATAGCTAGCTAGATAGGTAGATAGATAGCTAGATAGATAGATAGCTTGCTAGACATATAGCTAGCTAGCTTGCTAGATAGATAGCTAGCTAGATAACTAGATAGCTAGCTAGCTGGATAGATAGCTAGCATTCAATGCGTTGCGCCATGTGAAATGTTCTGCCCAAAACTACGCACATATTGGTGACCATTGAATTATGGGGCAGCTTTCGCATGTCCACTGTAACCGCAATCTTATAACCATTGAATTTCAAATCAACAAAAAATCCATGAGCAAACTATATGGTTGGATTGTCCTCAAATGTCCCCACGTTCCATAGATACAATGACAATTTTCAGGCACGTGCGCTTGCTTGAACTTGTTCATTGGAAACAAGTTCATAGGTTGGCCATGATTTTCTCATCAAGATGACAACCTTCATTGTTGGGGAAACCCATATCATATTGGATCATATTGCTGGGTAAGCTTCACTCTTTGAGGGTGGCAATCGGAATTTCTGATGCTTAGATAAATCCGTCGCACTGGTTTAATTCAAACATTGGATGGTTAAATCCTGAATGTGTTCCTTACTTCCCCGTGTTTGATTTTTAAATCATGCTGTTGGGTGTTCATCCACAGACCTCTGTTTCAGACACAGTCACTGAGAGTCACGTCGGTTTTACATCGTCGTCAGAGACAAGCGACTCTTGCACAGCTCGGTAGCGTTGACGTGTCATGCGGCCGCGCCACCAAGCTTGCAGCCTAGGCAGCGCAACAGAGCCAAACATGTCACCGGGGAAGCCATGAAAGCTTTGACCACTCCGTGGCTTCCTTGAATTTGCCACTTTCATAACGAATGTCGAAAACATAGAGCCCTTTTGCTGACAAGAGGAGAAAATTGGCAGCGACTTGTCAGGAGCATGGTTCTTAAGGTTCCTTTAGTGGTGGGATTAAGAAAGCAAAGGATGATCAGCCATTGGGTTTTTGCGGGTGCCTCCTGTTTCGTCAATGACATTGCTAAGTAAGGGGTCGCTATTTAGCCGCAAGGCAAAATGCAGTGGTGTTTGGGGGCCCCGCCGGGTTTGTCCAAACATTTTGGGAATGTCACTAAACCCACGGGCCCATCATGATTCTCCCGATGAAAGTCCTTGGGGCGTAACTCTTTTTGGAACATCAAAGCTGGGGCCAAATTCGATGGGCTCTTTGATGCTCAGGCGAGCGGTGCCAATTCTTGGCTACGTCTTTCACAATGCGTGTGGCAACTTTGCAAGACAAGGACCCTAAGGAATGCTGGGTAATTTTGCCTGTTCCATTTAGCGGAATTGCCGACAAGAAGACTCTCTGAAAATGGGATATACCATGCCATCCCCCCAAAGACTTCCTATTTTGCGCCGCGTGTCTTGAGGCGCAAGGAAAGCGGTTTGCTTCCAGGTTTTGTCAGTAGAAATGGTCTTCTGACCATGGATCTTGTCTCTAGCTAGCAGTTAACCCACTTAGTAGTTTGTTCGTAAACATGACATGGTTGCAACATGTTCTAGCCTTGCCGGGTTTTACCATTGCAGTTCGTCTGTAATGTTGGATGCTGATTGGTGTAGGCCCAGCCCCCCAAACAATTTGGGCATACTCTATTACTCGACATTTTCTTGGGATCAGGACGGGGGAACTCAGGATGATCAACTTAAGTAAAGATTTCAATTGATGCCAATCTATGTTCAATTGATGTTCCTTTATAATCTGAAAAAAAAACATATTAGTAAGGATTTCAATTGATGCCAATCTACTTTCAATTGATTGTCCTTTTCAACCTTAAAGAAACCAACTGATAAGAAAGGATTTCAATTAAAATCAATCTACTTTCAATTGGTGTTCCTTTTAAACCTTAAATACATCTATTGATAAAACATGATGTCAATTGAAATCCATCTGCTTTCAATTGAGTGGCCTTTTAAACCTTAAAGAAATCTATTGATTAGTAAAGATGTCCATTCACATCAAATTACTTTCATTAATTTTCCTGTATAGCCAAACGACATCTAAGGATAGAACACATATCAAGTGATATCAACCTACGTTCAAATGATTTTCCTTTTTATATAAACGTTACAGAAAACGAAGGATTAGTAAAGATTTCAATTCACATAGTTATACTTTCAATTCATCTTCTTTTATAAGCAAAAGACATCTAAGGATCAGTAAGGATATCAAATTCATATATATATATATCACTTTTAATTCATTTTCCTTTATGACCCGAAAGGAAATCCTTTTAAACCCAGAAACAAATCCCATACACACAAATATATATATATATATGTATATATATGTATATGTATATATATATATGTGTATATGTATATACATATATATATATATAAAGAATTCCCATAGAAATCCCATAGAAACCCCATAAAATCCCACAGAGAACACATACAGTAGACATCTTATACACATATCATAGAACTGCCATAGAAATTCCATAGACATCCCTTGGGAATATCATAGAAATCCCATTGGAATCCCATGGTAACGTGAAGGCCATGTCGCTTATCAGCCGTTTGACTCCGGGGTCAGCTACTCAAGACTAAACCAAGTTATATATGGTTGTGAGTCAAAACCTTGTACCCCTGGTGAACATCAAAATAGCTGGTAAATGGATGTTCATCCTCCTAAAAATGGTATTAATAGGTATTGATCCATCCCCATATGAGATGATTATGGCTTAGCTCCCTGAAGTCTCCTTTATCCTTTCCCCTTGACAATCTACAGTAACAACATGGGGGATTTTCCCATTGATCCCCTTGGAAATGCGATCAGCGGCTGACCTTGGGATTTGACAGTAGAACGACTAAAACGAGGCATGCAAAAATAACAAAAACATAGGGCTTGAATTGGCTTAACCATGTGTAGTAACATGATGTGATATTGCTGCGAATCTGCGACCTGCAAAAAAAAACACACTTTCTTGGCTGGCTAATCAACTTTTCCATTTAACATTGGCTGTTAAGTTGTACCCCGCACGCCTGGACCAAGACCCACATGTTGACAGCCGCCACTTGGCAGTTTTGTTCGGGTTCGTTTAGGATCACACATAGAGATATCCTCCCTTTCCTCGCTGGAAATCATTTCCTCATAGGTGAGGCATAGTCCATCAAAGGTTCAGCCTTGTGACACTCAAATTGCTTGCGTTCTGTTTATTTTTACATCTCAAAACATTGTAGCCCCACCAAAGCCAAACACATTTTCTTCTGTGATTTGTTATCCAGCTTATATGAAACCTGAGTTGAATTTAACATGCCTGTAATCCACATGAAAGCTGGTGATTCATCCAACCACCTGCATATGTTTTTCAAAATAACCCCGGGGAAAAAACACTGTAAACCAAGGACCCACAAAGTACACGGGATGGACAAGTGTATTTATATATATATATATATATATATGGGCCAATGGGTGTATGTATCATTATGTATCCATGACTTGTTTCACCTTGAATTCCATACTGAAATGATTTTTTTTTAATCCTAGAGTTCGTCCGAGATTATGGCCTGTAAAATCATGATTTTCACGGACTGCGGGATTACGTTGCTCCGAGAAAATTTTTGAACATGATCTTGCAAATTACTTGTCATATCTTGTCATTGTCATTTTTGGAGGGGCCCACGTGTGGTCAGCTAAATCACAATAAGCCCTGGCGGCTTCGCCAGGCCCAACACACACACACACACACCAGCCACAAGCTGTAAGAAAACAGCTTGCCGCCGAGCAAAAAAAACACGTAGTGTCGAGTCATATCTTTGGCTGATCCTGTTGGTCAATTTCCATGGTCCTCATGTCTCTTGATTCTATGGTATTCTGGTGGAAAAAAAGACCCTAATTTGTGGAACCCCATGTCAGCCAAGTGGATGCCTCGAAAATCATGGTGCAAAAGTTGGGATCCGTCCCCCAAAATTGTGAAGATGTTCCAACAGTTGAACCCACCAAGCAAATTGATGGATGATTATCCCACGTGATTCGAGTGTTTTTCCGGCTGGCCAGAGGCAAGCACCCAGTCAGTCTGACCCAAACAAAGGTTTCCCATGGGAGAAGAAGTCCCATCATTCCGTGCCAATTATGTTGGTTTATAGTTTATATTCACATCTGACATGATCAAACATCACCCCATTAATCAAGAAGAACATGAAGGATGTATTTGTCGAATAAATATGTATATGGGAGTTGTCAACATTAAAGAAAGGAAGTTAGGGAGTACGACAGTACGGTATTTTACGGTACTCTTGTACTCCTAATTCCGTTCTATAATTTTGGCAACTCCTGTATATGCATATATATACATACATTATCATATAATATTATATAATTCATAATATATATATATATATATTAATTATATGCATACTTATGCTTATTCAAATTGTACCATGCATGGTATGGAATAACGTTGCCTTGTCCCCGCCCCCGCATCAAAAACCGCCAGCTGTCCGGGCGTCCGGGCTTCACGGCATGGAACGTCAAGCGTTGCGTCTCCCGGTCCTTCAGCATCTTACGGGTGGCCTGGCTCTAGCTTTCTGGTGACCGATGAAATGATGGATTTAGCCTCTGGTAACATAACTGTGGACAATTACCATGTTTAATGGGTAAATCAAGTATAACTGGGCAATTTTCAATAGCTATGATTGTTTACCAGAGGGTATAGCTGAACACTGCTCATTGATCTTAGCAAAGCTATGTTTTATCTCTTGGTTGTAGTTGGTTGTAAAATGTTGTATAAACAAATAAAGAAATATCCATGAAATATCACCAATACTCCGCTTGAATATCCAATGAACTTTTCAATATTGGCATTTTTTAACCATGTAATCATGATCATCCCCTATCCATCATTGGGGTTTTGCAATTGATGAAAACATGACCATCCCTGTCGTTCCCTTTCCGTTTCATGCCGAACAGGGTCTCGCAAGCTGGTAACAGCAAACATGCGACTGTTGGCTATGTCATGTCTGACGTAAATTTGGTCATGGTTGTCGGTTCGCAGGGAAACCCTTCTATTTGGATCTGATGAAAGTTTCTGACCTCAAAGCTTTGACAACGTCGATGGCAAATGCGCATTTGGAATAACCCGGAGCTGCGGCCACAGATCATCGACAGTTTGGCTGAGACGAGCCATTGGATGATTTGACCAGCGATGCGTGGATGAAGCACTCTCCAAGTGGAGCTTCCCTTGTTCGCAAAAAGGGAATACATATATAAAGCTATATATTTATGACATCCTATATCAATTTATGATATTTTGTATAGCTGTTTATACATATATATATATACATACATACATACCATAAAAATATATAGAAAATAATCCCCATGAACATCCCATTATCCCATTCAAACCACCATCTGTTTTTCGTGGCAACTCAAACCCGAGAAGGGTTCAAAACCCAGCGCCGTCCCTTTAAACTGGCTGGTTGATAGTGATTCCCCTCATGGATTGTGATTATCCCCAATATATTGGTTCGCATCACCTCCCTACCAATCAATGGGAATTCCAGGATCCTAAAATGGAGGTACTGTAGCATATAAGGCCATATGTTCTGGTGATATTCACTTGCATAGGCCTGACAAATAGGCCTTATATATGGAATCGGTACCTCCATTTTAGGATCCTCAAATTCCCATTGAACCAATCAATCAACCATCATTTATCAAGTATATATATATATCCCCGTAAACTGTTCAAGGTTAAACACCCTAAAACCAGCCATCGCAATCGCAAATGGATTTCTTTCCACTATTGTAATTAATAACCAAACTAATCATGAATTAATCAGCCATCATGTATCAGTTATACCCACTCATATCATTCTTATATCACCATATGTTGATATATTTTGATGGTTAAGACCTTCTTAAATTATCTTAAATTACTATACTACTATACCCTCCGGTAATCAAACGTGGCAATCGGAAATCCACATTCGAAATGTGGGTTTCAAAAAAGGAAAATCACCGAACTCAGTAACGTTAGTATTTTCCAGCAAGCCATGTGGGTATGGGTCAATACCTATAGATACATTTTTAGTGGGTTATTCACATCCATAAATCCCGGCTATGACTTGGGGTTCACTAGGTACCAGGGTTTTGACCCATCCCCATGTTTGATGACCGGAGGGTAATCATTCATCAACCAGCAGAGCTCGATGCCGCACCTCGATGCTGAGCTGCTTGCTTCGCGCCTGGCGAGCAGAATCCTGGGTAGCCTGGGTAGCCTGGGTAGCCTGGGGCGTTTACGAACATAGATCTGGTAAACTAACCATCAATTGGACAATGGATTGGTTTATAAATCAATGGATTATAAATCAATGATGTTTATAAATCAATGGACAATGATGTTTATAAATCAATGGATTGGTTCAAGGGAAAATTGAAACCGGACAACCCCCATATTTAATGGGAAAATCGATGGTTTCCGGTTAAGATTTTCTCTTAAACCAATCCATTGAATAAATGTATGTCCATATTATATAGTAACCCATGGTAAGGGGATAATGATGGGATCATGATGTTTACCCTCTGGTAAATTAACATAACAATGGACAGATCCATTCTTAGCTGGGTAAATAATCCCATTACACTATTTCAGTGGCCATGGCTTCAATAGCTATTTTGACATAACCAGAGGGTAAACGTCCATTTTCCTATGGTTTCCTATGGTTTTCCCATGGTTTTCCCATTAAAACCTCCATTTTCCCATGGTTTTCCTATGGGATAATACTGGGATTTGTTCATGGACAAAACCCTCTGGATGTGGAAAACCGGAAACGCGGCAAAGCCTTGGAACATGATCGAAGGGGAACTCGGACTGGGTTGGAACCACATCGAACGGATGGCAACAAAAAACCATGGAACAATGGTGGGATTTTATGGTACCCTCTGGTAATTTGACATAGCTGGCCATTGACATGGCGGATTTTCCCATTTAAAATTGTCATTTTCCATAGTTATGTTAGTTTACCAGAGGGTAACAGGGATCCAATGGGACTATTATGTGAATATACAGTAATGGCTGGCAAAAAAAAAAACATTAATATCTATATATCATATATCTTATCAAGACTATCCCAAATAGATCTTTCTATGTATCCACACTATGCCTAGAATATCTTCTTCAAATCCGTACCACAATCTTTGTGGGTGACATCCCAATTAATAAATAGTGGATATGATGATATAAAGGGATACCAATATGGGGATGGGTCAAAACCCTGGTACCTAGTGAACCCCAAGTCATAGCTGGGATTTATGGATGTGAATAACCCACTAAAAATGTATCTATAGGTATTGACCCATACCCATATAATCGTATATAGTACCCTCTGGTAATTTAACATAGCTATGGAAAATCACCATGTTTAATGGAAAAATCCACTATAAATGGCCATGTTCAATAGATTCAATAGCTATGTTAGTTTACCATTTCACCATGGCATTGGTCATATAGCGATACTAATCATGCCATGGTGATGGCCGATATGGCCGGGCCTCCTCCTGCTGTCGCTGCCGCTCTTCCAACTGCTTGCGCTCCCTGAGTCGTGGTGGAAATTGTGAAATCCCATGGTTGAAACAATGGATGTCCCAGGTTTTTTTTCGTACTATGATAATATGGGGATATCATGGGATATCCTGCATGGAACTGTTGCTACCAATTTTACGACAATTTCTATGCATATATATATATATGTATGCAATTTAACATACATGTCTGTCTGCCCAATAGTGAGCATCACTGAAACATCCAACTGTCAATTTTCTACCCAGTATGTTCCATGAATTGGGACACAAATTTTCAGCCTGTCGGGCTTGCAAAGAGACGGCAATGCTTCGATCCAGTTTGGAGTACACCAATTGACCTTGCCGCTACAATATATACATAGTATATACACCTATCGGATGATATCGGATAGCCATGAATCAGCATTTCTGAGCAGATTGGGCTATGATTCAAAAGCCCTGGTTTCTTTTGCGCGATGAACTTCGACAACAGTTGTGTTGATGTGAAAACAAGGGCAGGGCACCAAGATGTTCATATAGTATATACTGCAAATCAATCGAATTTCATCCAATTTCATTGCTGTGAGTTCTTTTTGGCGGCACCATTGGGCAGTTTCAAAATCCCAATTGTTTTATGACGATCATTTGGGGGTTCATACATCCTTTATATCTTAGGAATGATCACAATCCATGAGTAATAGGAAATCCCCTCCTATCCAACAATAAACGTGAAATTGTCCAATAGGTTTTTGATGGCTTTGGACTTTTCGTGGCGACTCTTAGATTTCATGATTATTGCAATATTATGCATAATATATATATATATATATATTTGTATATATATATATATTTGTATATATATATATTATATTTATTATTATTATTTAATCCGGTTAACCAGTAGATATCCCTGTGGCAAAATATTACTTCGTACTAAACTAGCCAAAAGCGACCAAGATGTTTGCCCATTATACACCAGTTCAAAAAGGTTGAAACTCAACAAAATAACTATCGAGTGTCCAAATCACTAAGACAAACCACAAATCTTAAGCATTGGTTGAATATGATACGGTATTTCACGTACTTCTGATTTGAAAATCCCACATATACTATTGTTATATATTGTTATATATTTCATCCCAATACGGTGTTTCTGATCTACCAAAAACGCTGTTGATCATAGTGTTTCTGATGAAATCCCCAATGTCATGGTTGGGATCTACCGGTGATTTGGTTGAATCCCAGTGGACCCGATGGAAAATCACCATCTCATCACTTATGTGGTCCCAATGGTAAACCCATCCCACCAGTTAGAAAATGGGCTAATTCTGCATCATTTCGAATGGTTGACAATTTTTAGTGTATCTTATTACTACTATCCTATATATCAATCCATATTCTCCAATATCCTAAAATATCACCATGAAAAGTACTGGATTTACTTTTCCATCTATTTGGGGATGACTATAAATATCATTAAATCATATTAAATCACCATTTTAGTCTTAGTGACAATTTTTGTGACCAGTTGGGTTGCCTCAGATCCCACGTCAAGCCAAGCATCTCTTGCTGTTGGAGGAACCAACGTCTCACCACCTTGCCGCGCCAACGCGCCTGCAACCTGTTGCTGCGCCGTTTTTTCACCATCAAGGCAAATCCCAAAACACGGCGGAGGTCCTATTAGTTTCATATGGTTTACAGTAATAGGGTTTAATAATAAATGCGTTTAATAGGCTTTAACCAACCAAACATAGGGATATCCTGGGGGTTTTGATCAGGAGATACTGTGATAACAAAAAAGACGAATATGGCATGTAGTTGCCCCTTGATGGGAATTTAGTGGGGTTATAATCCCGAAGTGTTGTTGTGGATTTAACATGGTTTAATCAACAAATTGAAGCAAAACCTTGGGATTCAACCAAACATATTACTATGGGAATATGATGGAATTTAAAGGGAGATAGGGCAAACAGTAGAATTGCAATCAATTAGTATAAGCAGCTTTAATACAAGGGATTCCCATAGTGGATAATGACAATGCAGCAGCGGAACAGAGGTCAACTAAACACTCGCCTAATGATTCTCAAAAATATATTCTCTTATGCTATCTATTATAGTATAATATTCCCATCATATGTATTCATATGTTACCGTTGTATCACATTTTTTCTTGGTTTTCCATACCAGTCTATACCCCCAATCTTCGCTTCATATCCGGCGCCTCAGAGTGACGACGTTAACACATTTGTGGTGCTGCTCCGCCATGCGCTGACGCATGGCCTCGATTGTAGTAGCATAGGCAGGAATCCAACTAGAAAGATCGGAATAAGTAGATTCTATAGGATTCCTATAAGATTTCTGTACTATTCTATATATAATCCAACTGGAAAGAATAGTATAGGCATATTTTTCTATGCTATAATCTAATTATATAGTTGGGATAAGATTATAGTGAGAATATGATAGATGAACCATTATAATATCAGCTAGAGTAGAATATCATGGCAATAATATGGTTTAACCTGATTATAACGGGGTAGAAACAACTGTTGGTGGTTTCAAACTCTCTGAAACATATTAGTCAGTTGGGATGATTATTTCCAATGTATCGAAACATGTTCCAAAAAAAACAGTTTAGTATGATATCTGGGTGTATCTGAAAATGGCTAGCAGACCATCCATTTGAAGGATCAAGGGTGTCTTAACCATCAATTCGCGGGTACCCTATTTGCAAACAAACCTGCAGATATCATTTACTGTGATTTACAAAAAATGACCTATCCTAGGCCTGGGTTAGTTTTGTATACCGTTAACCCTGTTGACCAACCTTTACCTAGCATGGTTGTGAAAAAAGGTATGTCCAGGGGAACTTCAACAGAAAAACACGGTGTGACCATCTAAGGAATATGAGTTTTCTGAAAAATGTCCGCGAGTAACTTAGTAACAATATTTAATTACGTATTCCCAAACAGGAACTTCCTTGCAACTCTTGTGTTTGATCCAAATCTGCATAGCACACTGTCGCAAAAGGGGTTCTTGCAAAAATCTTGCGTTTTGGTGTACCTATTAGTGAGCCGATGAAGACCGAAACAACAGATTGTTCAAAGCATGTTTTTTGGCTACTAATCCCCTTGGCGCACGGTTTTTGCGTGTTTCCACCCTTTTGCATTTGTAAAGAACATATTTTGTCCAAAACAGGATGGCACAGGCATGTCACAACCATCGGCGAGAGCTCCGTGCGATCTTCCCTTTGGGGGACTTGCGAGAAAACATGCCGTTGACCATGATGCATGTTGACGATGCACGAACTGTTTTTCCCGTTCCTTCATTTAAGTGAAATTGCCACTGATCCACTTCCACCGCTAAATTTCAAGGACCTAAAATGACCTAAATGGAGGCTCTGTACCATATCATACTTTGGAGGATGGCTTACATAGCGCCAGGAACCTTCAATTTACCCTGAGATGTCCGTGTTTCGTGGGGATCATCCCAACATGTTGGGTTGATTGAACTCCAGATAGAAACCACCAACAAACGTGGAATTTACATAAAATAAACAAAAATAAAAGGGGAACTAACTGGACCTGATGAGAACAGACATGTCAATATATTGTTTCTTGTTGTTAGATCTGTGTGTAAGTTCAATACGAAAGATTATTGCTCATGAAAGAGATAACATGATATGATAATTCCTGGTTGGAGGGTAAACAATGGAACATACATAGATCCTGGCGTTCGTGGGTTTGAAGGTAAACAATAGAACATACATAGATCCCGGCGTTCATGGAGTATTATGATGTATTATGTAGTATTAGATACCAGCGACCAACACAAATCGCTTAAGTATAGAATCAACAAACATTGAGGGTACGGAGAACTCTCACAAAAAAAAAGGCCAAACATCCTATATTCACAGGGATTTCGCCACCCAGAAAGGGATGAGCACTCATCCCCCAGCAATTCTTCAGCACGAGGACGAAAAAAAGGAGCTGGCTGAATCCATCAAAACCAAACGGCACACAAATGGTATCCTAAAATAGCTGGTGAATGGATGTTGATTCACCAAATATGGCAGTGATAGGTTTTGAGTTTTGAGCCATCCCAATGTGTCTGCAATCCCAAAGTCTTCGAAGCCCCAACCCAGTGGAAATATTCGTGGCCAAACTTAAAATGCTCGACAGCACACAAAAAAAAAAAAAAAAAACATGTTCAGCTGGGTAGTCATAGTCCTTCAGCGTTCCCAATTTCTCTAACTAGTAATGAATCAAAGTTTTTGCTACTATGCACCAAGGTTTGCCTAATTTCAACACATTTCAGCCATTTGGACACATGGAGGTTTCCTGAAATGACGGTACCAAATCATCCAGCCGTCATGAATGACCATGAAACCACCATGGTGACGCCTGGGGATCCCCCATGACTTAAGAAAACCCCCACAGTCGCTATACTTTGCCCAGATTCGATCCCATTACACCACCATTTCTGTTGGTTAAATCCAAATGTTTACTTCAATCGACACGTTTGCATGGATAAATCATGATACCCTCTGGTAAACTAACATGACTATGGATAATCACCATTTTTAATGGGAAAATCCAGCTCTAAATTGCCATTTTCAATAGCTATGTTACCTAAATTACCAGAGGGTAAATCACTATGTTTTCTTGGTTGAATCACCACTTTCTTACTGGTGCTGAGCAGGGAATTTTCGGGAATGATCCCACTAAATCACTAGTAATGTCATCATCCCAGCAACCCCCAGCAACCCATCCATTCCCTACGTAAAACGCACCAGTAAGTTGTTGGTTCATGTTGGTTCTATCACCAACTTTCTTCCAATTCACCCGCCATGTCCAATTCCCAGCATCCCCAGCGCCCGTCCAAGTAGCAGCCACGCTCATTTGCTGCACCCGCGCCTCCGTCGGGTACCCGTGGAAAACCCATAGGAGAAAACCGTTGGAAAATCATGGACCAATGGTGGGTGTTCCAGATCTTTTTCTATGTTTCCGGGAGGGCAAAGCTTTAAACAAAAAATGTAGATTACCTGCACCATGGGGACTTTTGAAACAAACTCAAATATGAATATGTTACATAATATGTTACATAATATGTTGGAATTTTGTCAAAGGGCCAACCAGGGCATCATTTTGATAAGCAGGAAGGGAGCGCCCACTGGAGTGCTTATGGCATATATACCCAGCCACATGAGGATGCAACAACTACCCCCTGGTAAACTAACAGTCTGCGCATGGGACAAACACAATTTTTAATGTATATATATATATATACATATACATACATAACATAATCAACAAACTAAATGCTCATTTTCAATAGCTATGTTAAATCACCGGAAGGTAAGTGAGCTAAAAATGGGATGGACATATCAAAGTGGACTTGCCGCAGCCCATCAAAATGGGTGATTTCCATTGATTTCCCACATAAACTAACTCTGAAACAATCAATTTGAACTATCTCAGAGACAGTATTGACCTCCCAGGGCCAAATCTAGGAACAAAACATATCAGTTCATGTTGATTGATGTTCTCGCTTCATCTGCTGCTTGAATTCACATCAAACCACTGGACCCACAAAGGTTGTTTATTTTTGGTAGATCTGATTCCAGCGATTGGGGGTTCAATGTTTTGAGCCCCAAAAAGCCAGGCCTACCTGTCATTTTCGCAACAATGTCCGATGTTGGGGCCTTTGGGGTCCAACATGTCGAAGATTTCTCGGAAAACTGCTCATACATTCCACAATATATCAAACAAATCACCATTAAAATTGGAAAGTTCCATGGCACTATGGTTAAAAAACCATTAAGATTGGAAAGTTCCATGGCACTGTGGTTAAAAAAACAAAAATCAATTGCCTTTTAAGCGTCAGAGGTATATATTCCTCCATCTCAAAAACACAACGAATCGAGACTCACCGACCCTTCGCCAGGTCTCAGTTTTCTCAGTTTCAGGCCCAGAACATCTAATTTTGAGATCACAATCTATCAGAATACACCAATATATCACCCTATTGAAAATATATATTGGTATAGATATGATATATTGGTATATTATCAATAGTATTATCAATAGGGTATAATTACCAATGATACATATTGATATTATCCAAATGTTGATATATGATAACATACGTATGTATATAAACCATTCCGATTGTGTCCTACAATTACACCATCATCAAATCTAACACCTGTTTTTTCTACTCCAAAAATAAGGTCAATTTCCCTCCTTCCCAGCTCCGCGCCTCCTCCTTCTTCCTGACTGCCATGACTTTCTTTCGGGCTTGTCGCTTGCGTACCAAGCACTGGCAGGATGCCACACAGGCCATGTGTCAGGGATAATGATGATCAACCCGTGGATCTACGGGTCGTGTCATGGGTTGAACCGTTGGCTTCTTCAACCCCACACCTGGGATTTCTGCCAGCTGGGCCTCCGTTGCTACTGGTTGGTTTATAACAAGGTGATTTCTATGGTGGTAGATGCAACGAACATCAACGAACGTTTGGAATTCGGATTTTTTTGGGTAAAACCAAAACCCAACGTTCACATATGTTTGGGGGCCCCACCACACGTAGGTGTTCGCATGACGCAGCCGGCACCTGAATCTTAGTGGCCTGGAAGTTTCTCCATCGCATCTCACTTCGTTCGTTTTCTTCCTGGAAAATGAACGCTTCTTTTGACAGGGGTCATTGGGCTGGGTCAAAAGTAATATTTCACCAACCTGAAATAAGGCCATTTGCGGATGATTATCCCTTACTACCATGATTCCAGTGAGGTCGCAGTAAGATCGTTGTAATTCATCCAGATTGGATTGGGGTATAAACCCAAACACTTTGGGGATATCATGGGGGTAGAACCAGCAACTACTACGTATGATAGTTGGATGGGGACCTGAAAATCTAGCAAACCCAAAATTTATTTTTGACATGTTTGTCAATATGTAAAATTTAGAGGGCCACAGACTTTAGTCATTTTTTCATATCTTATATAATATAACCATCCATTTCTGGTGCATAATTTTGACCCCATGGGCCCATGGGAACTTGTTTTTTGGTTGATTGCAGCTTTCCCCTTCGGCAACCTCCCCGCAGATTGGCCATTCGAAGAATTGGCCATGGATCTGCTTGAAATCCGCCGGTGCAATGATTCATCATAATGGTCATCTGGTTGCTGGTTGACCTACCCCTCTGAAAAATATGAAAGTCCAGTTGGGAATAATCATTCCCAACTCAATGGAAAGTCACAAAATTCATGTTCCAAACCACCAACCAGATATCTCATTAACCACTATTAACCACTATTAACAACCATTAACCTCTTGGTTAATGGTTAATGATCCCTGGAAATCAATCTGCCAGATCCGGCGGATTAAGGCAGTTACCGTAGTGAAGACCCATAAATCTGCCCTTAGTGTTGGGGTCATCTTCGGACTGAATCGCTCAAAAATGCCATTACTTCTTGCAGAATATGGTGTATAGTTTGATCAAACATCCAAGCTCCACTTCACAGCATTTCTAGTGGATTCACCAACGACACGTTTGAATGATTGAATTCCCCGTTTAGACTTTTTAAAGAAACAAATGGGACTCTGTTGAATTTTTGATCCAATTGGGGTGAAGAGTATGAATCATTTCATGGCCTTGTGTAGAACCGCATATTTTCTCCAAGATTCCTGTGGCCAGACTTGGGGCTGAGTTTCCCCACATCTTCGAATGGACAAAACCATTGAAGGTGCATTGAACCGTGCGCTTGACTTGGTGAAATCCATTTTGATTGCAGATTCTTCAGATATGTTAGATGATTGTTAAATGATTGATTGTATATATATATATAAATAACACTATTTACCATGTGTTCGTAGGTCATACACTTGGTGAAACACAGTTATTTTGCACATTCGCCACAAGTACATCCGCTTTTGGCGTGTAATGTTAGATACCATGCCTTAAAAAACTGGATAGTAGATATCACAGTATATAATTTTCAGTTAAGGTTAGCCCATCCAGCTCAATATCGAAACCGTTTCTGCCTAAAACCCCAATTTCTGTGGGTTAACCCATCCACTTTTACTGGTTAAGCCACACAGATCCAGTTGGTTTACCCCCTTTTGTTGGGTGAATTCCCCACCTGGGCTTTCCTGAGCTCGCTGTTCCTCTGTAGGTCCTGATTTCTGTGATGGGATGTGAACCAAGAAAGCTGGGTCCTAAAACCAGTAATTTCACGGGGTTTTGCAGATGTCGTGCTATAGGACCAACCAATTTTCATGGGTTGGTCCAAGAAACGGAGTCATAGGGCACCATTTTTGGGCAGCTTTTCATAGGGGATTTGACGATCAGCATTCAAATTTGAGAATACCTTATCTGGTTTGTGGTATACTTACCCCTCTGAAAAATATGAAAGTCCAGTTGGGATGGGGATTCTCAATATATGGAAAGTCATAAAATTCCATGGTTCCAAACCAACCAATCAGTTATTTTCAAACAATCTTTCACGAAACTAGGGCTGTCCAATCATGTGATGTGGATTGTTGGAAAGCGATTAATCTTCGGCACATACCCAAGAAAAAACACAAATTGAACCCCAGAAATCGGAAGAAAGTGAATACACACATCTACAACTGGGAGCAGGGCCCTGTTCATTTTCACAAGCATCAATTATTCTAGGACTGTTCAGTAAATAATTGACATTTCCAGTGGATGGTGTCGTTTGATGTTGGAGCAGCAACAAATCAAGACACTAGGATATTTCTACATTCTGTGCCTCGTTGTCTTTAATATGCTGGCATGATACTAACAACCAACATCGATGATACAGTATTCTACATCCCCAAGGGAAATGGATAAAGATGGATAAAGTATGATAAAATATGATAAAGTATATTACATGAAATTCTATTTCCATTAGCTCTGCTTTTGGTTGCTTAAACCCCATTATATATGTATAAACCCATGAACCTGGATGAACTTGGACAAACTTGACCCCACTGAAGTTCGGCTGATTAGCCTCTGGGAATCAACAGCTAGCTGGAGTCTATCCCCTATCAGCAGAGTGTTGTTTTTGTTGGTCCAAAAAGAGGGGCTGTTCCGTTGCCATGTTAGATTACCATGGGCAGGAATTGTTCCTCAACCGCGTGATTGGATAGAGTACTTGAATATGCATCCCAGTTAGAAAGTGGTTGTTAACAATAGTAGGGAAAACAAAATCATGGGGTCCGCGCACGCACCCACAAGTTTCTTTTTGAAAACTTAGTGGCGCGCGGGCGGACACAGGGAAAACAAGTTTAAAATTTAGGCATTGGCTGAGTAAGTATAGACAATATGTTCTTTTTTAATATGAATAGCGGACACAATTACATTGTTACTTTTCATGCCATGCGCAAATTGGGGCCGTCTCCTATCGGTAGTGAGGATTGCTGCGTTCTCGGACTTTGAGGCCACTCATGCGAAACAGTGGTATCGGTATAGGGTCGTCCCCCATTGGCTATGAAGGTTTTACACACCCCTCAGCAAGGTCAATGCGAAGAACAGCGACATTAGTATATAGAATAATTTTGTCACATATGCAATTGAGTATGATTTGGTATTAGAATACCCAATGAGTGACACATCATTAGTAACATAATTACCCAATCATATTAACCCCATATTAACTATATTGACCCCTATGACAAGTGTAACTCAAATATTCCCAAGTTTTCTTTGGGTTAAATACCTCTTATCCTGGCCTCTGGAGGTGTCCATCCCAACTTCACCGCGCGCAGCTGCACCTGGGGGCTGGGGCTGGGGTAGACATGGGAAGATTTAGATGATTCAGTAAGCACTGTACCTGTGAGCATGTATAGTTTGATTAATCAAAATTCAAAATCGAATCTTGATGAATAATGTTGAAAATAATTCATTCATCTATCCCCCCAATATGAAATTACATTGATTTCCCATGTAAAAAAGGCGGGATCCATTGATTTCCCAAGGGCTTGTCCTCCCTTCTGGCTGTACAGTTGGCCTGGTGAAATTTCAGCATCCGTCACGGGCCCGGATTGACATGGCTGATATCACTGGTGGTTGAGCCTACCCCTCTGAAAAATGATTGAGTCAGTTGATGTCAGTTGGGATCATGAAATTCCCAACTGAATGGAAAGTCATGATCCATTCATGTTCCAGTCACCACCAACCAGATAATGTGGTTAAAACATCTTCAAATATATGTCATAAACCACCCCATATCACCTCATGTTTGATGGTTTATACCACCTATAAAATGGTGATTTTGGGCATGGTGTTTCTTTATTGATTTAACCACATTACCTGTTTAATTAATCTTAAAAATCATAGAACAACCACCCCTTTGTTATCTACGGCTACTGCCGCACAACCTGTTCATCAACCCGCCATTGTTGAAACCGGTCCACGATGCTACCAACAAATGTTAGCAACCGGATCTTTTACCGTGTCAAACTCAATCTGGTTGGTGGTATACCTACCCCTCTGAAAAATATGAAAGTCCAGTTGGGATGATGAAATGCCCAACTGAATGGAAAGTCACAAAATTCCATGGTTCCGAACCACCAACCAGTCAATCATATGCCGTTTCATCCTAAATTTCTAGGGGGCAATGTACCATGTGCCAACTTCCGTATGATCATCCAAGCATGGCTACACTTGGGTCACCACCATGTTTGCTGGTTGGTAATTTAGAGATTCCCAGCATTCTTGGTGTATTTTTTCAGGTGAAATTACCTACTTGGGCCTGCAGGCCAGAGGTTACTTTTTGGGTATCACCATACTATTTGAAGCAACATAAATCGGGATATGAACCCCCTACAGCAGTTTACGGATCTCACGTAGTTGACGTAGTTCACTTAGTTCACCTTATTGGATTTCCAATTTAGTTACTAAGCTTCAACAAATCCATGTGAATAGTAGTTTATACAGACTTATACTATTGGATTTGGGATTTTTTCTTCGCCAGTTACTAACCTTCAAGTAGTTTATAGATGTTTATAGTTATGATTGGATTTACTAAATCTACAACCCAGTCAGTTTAACATTCACAAAACCACCAGGACCATGGCCGATCGGACGCCTCCAGCGCTTGGAGCTGCTCCTGCACGTAGGGCTCCTTGGCGTGGACGCTACGCAGCCTCGGAATCGGGAGATCGGGAGATCTTGGGCATGGAAGATACGTCAAACCATACATTTCTATGGGGATAGACATGGATAAACTATTACTTAGTTGTATAAGTATATATATATATATATATATTTATCT